GCAGCCTGAGCCGAGCCAGGCGCCAGAAGTCGGATTGTATACTCTTGGATCAGACATACTCCCCAGCTGCCAGGTCAGGGAGGGCATGCCCAGTGGCGAAAGTCAACTACGGGCAGCTCTGGAGGTGCCGTACTGGTACCCGCGCTGTTGAAAGGTGTTGTGAACTTAGCTTTTTGCAAGCCAACGGCTTGGCAGGCGACAACCCGTCAAGCACAAGCCTGAGTTTGCTATAGGAAGGAGTTGGAGGCATCATGTTTCTGTCCTGGCTGCGTGTGACATGAGGTGAGCTCCATCCGTAGCGAGTTTCGAAAGGGCATCCGCACGCCCGGCCTGTCAAGGGACCATTGCTGATCAGTTCCAAGCCTGGAAACACATTCAGAAAGTCTGTCGAAGTGGAAAGGGCTTCTCCAGCCGCAGGGAACCATTACGCAATCTGAAGCTTGGGGACATCTAACTCTTACGCATCATGTTTGTCCCCCCCCCCCCCCCGTGCCAACGCTCTCATGCCAGGCTCACTTCTGAGCGTGCTGTTGCACTCTGTCGCACAAGGAGCTCCACAGGCGTTTGCTCCAATTGTTGCGGAAAGAAGGCTTCATCGTCATGTGCATTGATCAGCTGTTTGAACTAAGACACGGTCAATCCACCACTTCCTGGTTCGAGGCGTATCTTATCAAAGCGCCCGGAATTGCATGGGGCTGTCACACATCGGCTCGAGATGTTCGAGGCCGCATGATGCATCGGCAATGGCGGTCGTGGTTGTAGGAGGTGGCATCGTAGGAGTGACAGCCGCCTTTTATTTGCTGAAACGGGGCAAGAAAGTGACGCTGGTTGAGAAGTGTGACATTGCCTGCCACTCCTCGGGGAAGGCTGGCGGGTTTTTGACGGATGGCGACTCTGGGTGGCACAGCGGCTCCATTGGCCGCTTGGCCAAGCGGTCCTTTGCGCTCCACGAGGAGCTTGCGAAGGAGCTGGGCGCTGAGCGCATTGGATACCGACGGGTGAAGTGCCTGGGCCGTGGGAGACAGGGGACGGTGCAGCCTGCGTGGCTACACAGCGATTACCAGAAGGACATGGGCAATGAGAGCGGTTTGGCTCAAGTAACACCCTACAAACTCATGGATGCTTTGAAGGAGGTCATCACAAAGCAGGGCTGCGAAATCATCATAGGGAAGGCCGTCGGCGTCGAAATTGAGAAGGACACTGTCAAGGCGCTGAAAGTGCTTCAAAATGGGCGAGAAACCACGCTCCCCTGTGCTGCTGTGATTCTTGGCATGGGCGTGTGGGCAAGCGAAGTCGGGGCGTGGTTCCCTGACAGCACATTACCTCGAAGAACTGTCTCAAGTCGCTATACAAGCGTTATTTGGGATGATATAGAAGTAGGAAAGGATGCAACAATGATTTTCACCATGGGGGACGAGCATACGGAGATCTATCCGCGAACCAACGAGTGCTACGCGAACGGCTGCCCATGCAATACAGATGTGCCGGACAATCCCTTGGACATACAACCTCCAAGTGAGGAAATTGAGAAGGTGAAAGCAGAAAGCATTGCGGCTGTGCCACGTCTGAAAGATGCAAAGGTTATTCGGTCCACCGCATGCTTCTTGGCTGGCTCTGATGATAATCGTCCCGTCGTTGGGCGGGTGCCCAAGACTGCGAATGCCATGACCTCAGGTATCGACCTCGTGCAGACTGTCCGACTGCAGACTGTTTGACTCAATGAAAGCCGAGAAATTAAATGGCGGGTGGTTCAGGCAGCTCTCGCCGTCAGTTGAACAAAGCAGTGTCGGAGCTGAGGCCGTCGTAGCATGCGGTGGTGGCTGCTGGGGCATCCTGCGACTTGAATTGAACAAGTGTTGGATCGGGCAAGGGACATGTTTGATGAGTCGGGGCACGCACGTTTTCTTATCTTCCGTGTTGCCCTAGTGATATGCAGTCTAAGCAAAGCATGCTTGGGCTAATCAAGATCAATACCACCCACTGCCCGGACCCAGCAAAGCTTTACTATTCCGGATGCGTAGGAACGGCCCCGCGATGGGCGAAGCAGCTGCTGCCTTGGCGTGCTGGGAGGACAGTGGCTCTTCAGCTTTTCGCACTGCAAGTGGGGAGTCAAGGCGTCAAGAGCTAGTCTCAATTTATACTATCAAGTCAATTTGGCAAAGGAGCCAGCGCTGGACATCAACGCCTTTGACCCCATGCGCTTCGATAGCTCCTACGTACCGGCCTTTCAGCGGGGCTTGCCGCCGAAGCTCCTGGCGGCTTGGCAAGGTCGATCTTTTTTTTGTAATATGTAGCGATGATCAAACCTTAAATAGGGCTTGGGGAGCATTGCAAGGGCTCGTATCAACGGAACCCATGCGCATGAGCCACACTTCTCACTTGGGATGCTGACTGGCGTGTAGAGCCATGGCCGTGCAGGCGTTGGTGGCTCAAAATCCAGATCTGGCGGAGGCTGAGCATGCATTGGGATGCTGATGCCATGCAATTGTTGCCCTCCCAGCATGCACACCTGCGCGTTTCCTAGTGGCCCTAGTGCCTCGTGTCCACTAACCAAGGAAGCCTTTCAGCAGAACCCGGAAGGGATTATGGAATTGCTGGCTCGCATGCAAGACTGAGTCGCCCTTCTTGAGGGAAGCTCGGATGGCCAAAGCCTTGCCCTTCGACTGCTCGAGTACAAGGGCGCCAAAGAGCGGAGCCCTGCAAGAGTCAGTGCAGACAAAGATCCCATGCAGAGTCGCACGATTTATTGATTGCGTGTCATGATGTGTCATGTGTTGATTGGCGATCAGCGTGGCTTTTTGTCATATGTGTGCAGGTGGCAAACCTTTGTATGCACCTGAACTTCAACAACTTCTATGCCGAGCAAATGAGCAGACCTGCCGAAAACGCCGCCCAAAACGCCTTTTCGGCTGTTTGTGTTGCTCTGACTTTCTGGCCTGCACTTGCGCATCCGGCATGCAGCGGTTTTTGGGCCCAGACCCATGGGAGGGATGCCCTGGACGTGTAGCGCGCGGTTGGCCGAAAGCCGCCAGGCAGGGGACCGAGCCTTCGTGGCCTTACCAAAACCGCCGTGCTTGTGGTCCCGAGGCCGCGCTGCCATGACCCAAAAAGGGGACACGCCGGGCGCTCGGATTCATGTGCCCTTGTGATACTCCCGTGTTCGGATTCATCCTGCTTCTGTTCTGGGTCAACTCCAGCCTTGTTGTCAGGGGGGACAAACAGAACTCGTGTAGCAATCCCTATCGACTATACACTTGCACTCTAAAGGGTTCTTGACTTGAGCTGTTCAGCAGTTCCCCAGCATCATGAAATTATCTTTGAGGTACTCTGCATACGCTCCGAGAGGGCAGAACAATGCTGTCCAGGATCACACGGTGCGGCCCTTTCCCGTGATGGCACCTGTCAAGCCTGTGGAATTTGGATTCGCAGTCCACACTGGTCTCCGGGCTCTACCACGACTGTTCAGAGGGAGATGGAGTCTCATTATTCAGGTGCCCGCTTGAGAAGCTGAGAAGCGCATTGAGAACACACATTGCCAACGCTCAGTTTCTGCAACTTCCTTGCTCACCAACGACTTTTGTCCTGGGAGTTTGACCACAAGCAGGCATTGGAGGCGGTGGTCTCAGGTGAAAGTTGACGGCTAGCCATGATGTTGGTCCCAGAAGGAGGGTGTTGTCAAAATCCAGAGTTGTGTGACAAACTTCCGTACAAGAAAGAGTATGCCATTCGAAGAAGTCTCGTGTGTCAGGCCTTCAGACAATACAGTGGAGGCCCTGAGCATCCAGAGGCCTGTGCACCGACTGTTGCACAGTTCCAGAGTCGCAGTGTTGTCCTCGTGCAGACAAAAGGAGTAGAGCAGGAGACATTTACGACTCGCATGCAGCGTGTGGTATGTTCTTCTCATTTCCAGGATGCTCTAGACACGGCGCTGCTCGATGCGAAACAGTTTCGCTCCGCACTGCAGGACAGCATGCCTTTTTGTTTTTGTTGCCATGCGTCGCAACTTGAAATTCTTGCCAGGGCCTGGCCATCATGTTCCATGGCGCAACATACGGCCTGAAGGCAGAAACTCAACTAGTGCATACGCCTTTTTGCATCAGACTGGAATGATCGAACTTTGCCAGGCTGCAGATTTTCGCTTTGAGAGGCAGAGCACAACAGCCTATGCCCTACTGCTTGATCCAAGGCCGAACCTGTATTGAAGGCCCCTTCAAGTGTATGAATGGATCGCGACAAATACTGCATGCCAGCTGAAATGAATCATGTGTGGCAGTGCTGGACCAACCAAGGACCCCCGCTCAAGCGACCGGCTTGATCGCAGGGCGAGTGGCAGGCTAGCAGCTCAGGATGCGCGGGTTGGTTCAGGGCGATAGGCATGGTGCGGCCATGATATTTCTTTGATGTAGGAGAAGTGCCCACACCAAAGAATCTACACATGGCACGTAGAGCACGCTTGAGTTGCACAACCTGGAAATATCTCTTCCGGAAGCAAGACGGGTGCACAGTACAAGATCCAGAGTGTGTTATAGTCTGTCCGGCTCAGGAATACCAACTTTGCTGGAGAGGCAACTCACAAGATTCAAGCACTGCAGGACCCAAAGATAGCATATAACATGTTGCCTTCAGAAGCTTCCGCATGGCCGTTCTGAGAAGTATTGGGGCATACTGCAACAAAAGCCAGAATTAGTCAGACTGAGTGGCGAGATTGCGCCCTTGGCGGGGAGAGAGAAGAGCCGCTCCTCCCTGAAGCGGGAAGGGGATATGGCCAGGACCTCCTGAGAGACGTCAGCCTCCGTAACAGCGAGGTGCCTTTTAGCTTGAAGAATGTGCGGCCCCCGGCGCGGAGCGAGCGGAACGGCCGTTTCAAACGGACGGACAACTGCGCTTGAGGTCAGTGAGCAGCGCACTGCCTTCTTCGATGAACAGGTCACTCGCCTTTTGCCCCACATTTCTGGAAGGGAATTTCACACCGCTACTGCAAACGCGTTGATTTGTTGTTCGTTTGATGAATTTGCAGCACCTCCGTTCGAGTTTGCTTGCGCTCCTCTTGATTCCTCGCATCAAAGTACAAAGGCTGGTCATACCAGGCCCTTTGTTGGCTGGCCTTTTTAGCTCTCCGTTTCCATTAGCTGCCCAAAATCACATGATTTCCACGATGCTAGACATGAAGTGCCTGACCTAGGTAATGCAAACCGCCTACGAGTACGAGCATGCACTCAGAAAGCTCTTCACACACTACGCCTGTGCCCTTGCTGAGCGCTTGAGCGATGCACCGCTTCCTGCTTCAGGCAACTGAAGCTTCAACGCCAGGAGTTGTCGAGGCGCGTGTTCAAGTCGCTGGCAATGCCAAGCGTAAGGTATGGACATGGATTCTCCTTCAGTCCGCACATGATTTTTCAGGGGTCACCGCAAAGGTACTGCCACACACTGACCACCTGAATTGATCTCTGAACAGCCTTTGCAATCAATCTAGGCTGTCAACTGCATTCCCCCGAGAGTGTCAGGATCGTGCTCATGCTGTTGGTGCGCGGTCTTTGTACCGTTTGGCACGCGCCATCCGACTGGTGCCCGACTGTGTTGTCGCAGGCAGGGAGAGCAAATAGTGGTCGTGTGCTCCAGGAGTTTGACATCCCCGTTCTTGATGTGGGGAAAATCAGCACGAGACCAGGTGAATTCCACGATGTTGTGCAGTGCTTGCGAATTAGCAGCCAGTGGCTTAGCTTGGCTTCTGGCAAAGCCTTCGTTGGCCGTTCCAGCAATCCACATGCTACGATTTTGAATGAAACACCTGGCTTGACTGAGTACCTTCAATCCTGTTCTCTCATTTGCACGCTGACTGCATCAAGCAGCTGTGCTCAGACCCCTCGAAGTCCGTGGAGCGCCGTTTTTTTGAGGACTGGATGTGCACATTGACATGTTGGTCACGAAGCCTTTGGTCAGTTGGTCTAACCAATTCAGTATGGTTTCGGTTTGGCCCCGTTGTGCAAATGCACATCCTGCGTCGGCAAAACGTCGTGGAAGGAGGCACGGATGCTCCAGCACGACGAGGACTGACGTTTCTTGTAAAAGAGTGTGTCGCCAGCCAGGTACATGCGTACATCTATCAGGCAGCAACACATACATAAACGTACAGAAGATTCTTTGACGTGGATCGGTTTCAGCCAGGGTTGTGTCTAGAGGCTGGCGTCAAGCAACATTTGCGAGGTCAAGCCCTCCTTCCATCCTGTGTCCCCCAAGGCTGCTGGCAGAAGTTCACCTTTTGGCAGGGGCAAAAACGGACATTCAAAGTGCAGATGATGGACTCCTACTGCAGGACACAAATTGGATGCAGCCTGCTGCGGGCACTGCTTCCGGGGAGCCGCGCCGAGCTGGCCTGCTTCACGACTCTCTCACGAGTCGACCCCCCAGTTGGGGAACTCGCCAGGTTTCTGGTTTCCCGAGATGGTGGAGATCTTTGTGGTGGTCGTGGCCTCACTCGCGAATGGGTTTGTGGTTTGTATTGAGGGTACCTTCTTGAGGTTGGGGGGTTGCTTAAAACAGGGAACTCAGATGCAAGTCGGATTCTGTAGGCTGCCATGCATGCTCCGCCTCGAATGTACACAGAGAAGGTGGAGGCAGGGACTGGGCCGTGCCGGATTCTGTTGTGTCTTTTTTTGCAGAGCATGTGGCTAAGTTAATCTATGCTTGCTGGTCGACTCAACGCATCATGAGTCCGACAGGAGTGTTGTGTCCTTGCCTGCAGAGTGCCGATCTGCCGACCAACTTGCTTCACAATGGTTCCTTCCGTGTAGGAAAATGAGAGATGATGCGAGGGTTTTGACATGCATAAGCCAGGGAAAGCTTGATTGTGCATGGTATAGGAGTTGAGCCTGCAGCTACGAGAGTGTTGAAGCATTCCTGCAAAAGTCTCGAAGGATCGCGTGGAGCGCATCCACATGATTTTCAAGGACCTCCTGCAGCTGCCGCAGGATGAGGATGGCAAGGCAGGCCCGTTTTGAGCCGTCGTTGATTGATCTTTTATTTGCAGGGATAGGCGATCTTTTGGGAGGGTCTATAGAACTTGTGTTTGGGACATGATCGAATTGGTTCGATCGGAGCAGTTGACTCTAGCGGGAACTTGGTGCTCTCCATGTCACTCCTTCCCGCGAGGAGCTCCAGGCAGACCAGTTCCTGCAGGCACGTTGCTTGGGACTGGAAAAGGGGACTCCTTTGGCCTGCCAAAGGTGGCTTCTGGCCTAAACGACGTGCCGGGGCTCCTGGCTGCCAATGGTCTAATAGTTCATTGGCTCCTCCAAAGGACTAGAAAGTAATCATTGGTTGGGCTTGAGAGCATTTGTGGGGGGGTCGCGGGTCTGTTTTGGCTCGTTTGTGACAGTCTATTTTGGCTCTCTTGTGACCATGCTGTGCTCCTTTTGTGACGTCTTGGGAGGTTGTGCTTTAAGTGATATCGATTGGGAGGAAGTATCGAAACTTCCCCGGTTGATTTGAGTCATAAACCCCCTGCCTGCCTGCCGTAGTGTGCGTAGTACTGAGCATGTTGATTGAGTTTTTTTCGGGGAGACGTGAGACAGCAGAAAAGGGTGGGGGGGGAGGGACATGAACACCGCACCGACTTCTTGCGGCGAGATTGGCATAGAGCCTTGTGATGTTCTGTGCAAAGTCTTGCAGATGGGATCCAGATGAGACTTGTGAACTCCGAATGCCTGTGAACCCCAAGTACTGTGCTTATGTGAGCGGCCGTACTCCCAGCCCAAGCCATCTCTAAACCACCCTAAACCTACCCTGAACCACTCTTGCACACCTAAGCCTAACCACAGCTCAAACCCTCAACCCACCCCAAAAACAGCAAGCAACACATCCTAGACATAAAGCGCAGCCAACCAACCAAGCATGCACCTGTCCGCGCAAACCCAAAACCAACCGAAGCCAAAAACGGATGTGTGAGAGTGCACGTGACTATCCCCCCACCCCAACACCCACCCCGCCCACCTCTGATCGTTCCTGTGAACTCCAAATGCATGTGCAAATATGAGATGCCGTGCTCCAATGCGCGCGCGTGCGCACGTGATTTCCCTCCCACCTCCCCCCCCGACCCAACCCCAGTGCACAGGTCGTTAATCCCTATGGCCGCAAGTGAAGCGAATCTGATCGTCACAAGTCTGTCCCTGATGGTCGCGAGTGATCCCACGGTCGCAAGTGAGTCAAATCTGATGGTTGCAAGTGAGCCCCCTACCTTTGTGGGAAGCTGTTGCAGCAGCGAAACTGGTATCCGAGGAAGGAGTTGCAACCTGATGACACCCCGCAGAATCTGCAAGAGGTGCTGGATGCGCTTGCTCCCCGGGCTGGTGCATGTCTGCCGTGCTTCAGGGTTATAGCACAGCACTGACTAAGCAACTCTGTCAGATCCGCCTGTGGTTGAAACTTGAGAGAGAGAGAGAGACAAATAGAGATGTGGAAGCTGGCAACAACAGACACAGCGGCCTAAGAACGAAAGAGCCACAAGCTTGCAATGCATCAAGCAGCGTTTGACAAGTTGAATGGTCAAACGGTCGCCCAACAAGCCAAACACGCTACGGAAGCCCATGCCACTTCAGTTGAAGCCGTGGCACTGAGGCTGTGCACCCAGTTGCCCAAGCTGGCGCCAAAAAAGGACGGATCTTGCGGATCAGCTGCAACCAGCCACGCACGGAGAAGAGCTGTAGGATCCGCATATACCTCAACCACCAGCGAATATGATCGAGAAGCTTCCACCTCAGCCACTCTCGGTGGAGCAGAGATTGGTTGTCCTGGCATGCTTCAGCTGGGCGGAGAGCGTTGCTCGGACTGCCTTGTTCGCCCGTTTTGGTCCTGGCCAGGATGAGACTATGAGGACTGCAGAGCGCAATGCATGCAATGAAGCCTGAGTCCACCGCCAGCCAGGAAGAATCCCACTGGACGAGCAGCGGTTGCCGCAAAGAAGAAGGGGTGCCATAGCTGAAGCATGTTGTCAGCTGTTGCATGGGCTGATGTTGTTCACAGCATAGTTTGGCAGTTTGGCAGGCGGAAGAAAGCGAAGGCAGCAGGCAAAGGGCCAAAGTTGCGGGAGCACTTCTATGGCGACATTCCAGTAAAGTGGAACCAGGCCTCAATGGTCCTAGCTTCACACCATCGCGTCAGAGACGTCCCCCTCCATTGACATTTCAAAGTTTCGCAATTGCCGCAAGCACATACCACTTTCTGATTTGACAAGTTCAAACTTCTGGGTACAGAGGCTCATTTCTCAGTGGCCGCCTTGCATTTGTGCGCAGGTCCAATGGCTTGGCAAAAGACCAGAGATTCCCAAGCCGGCCATTCCACCCATGTGGTGCGCCAATGCCGAGTTTGTCCTCTGAAAAATAGTTTCCGTTGGGGCTGCCACATGGGCACCGTTGTCAGTGAGAGCAGCCAATTCGGACACGGTGTTTTTTGTTAACGGTCGCAGCGACAGGCAGGTGGACCGTAAAATCTCAATGCTGAAGCCTGCATCCTAGCCTGTGGCCGCCAGATGGATGCAAAGAGCAGTTGGACCCAAGGCACTTGGATGACCACATCGAGAGGCAGCGGGAGGAGGCACAGGATTTGATCGATTCAGTATATTGCCAGCCAGCACTTTAAGCCGTGCAGTCCAGCACTGCCAACATGCCGACAAGTGGCTGGGTGCTGCGGCTTCAGCTCATTGTACGCAACCCAGAGAGAGAGAGAGAAAGAAAGAAAGAGAGAGAATTACAATAAGCGAAGAAGCCAATGCAGGAGAGCAGGTCATGCAGTCCGGTTTCTTTTGGGCAATCGCCCTTGTGTGTGTGTGTGTGTTGTGTTGTGTTGTGTTGTGCTGTGCTGTGCTGTGCTGTGTGGTGTGGAGTGGTGTGGTGTGGTGTGGTGTGGTGTGGTGTGGTGTGGTGTGTGTGTCTCGCAGATTTGACTCTGTGGAGCCCATCTTGGAACCACATGGACCATACGAAATGTCGAGAAGGGTTCCAGAGACTGTCAGAAACTGATAGCTTGCACTGTTGCTCACCCGATGCCGGAGCTCTGAGGATGAGCCCCTTCAGGCACCTGTGTGTGAGAGCGAAGAGGCCGCATTCTTCAAACTGCTTGGTTGGATGCGTGGCTGTGCTTCATCCAAGAGCCTTAGATGCTTCGGATAGCAGAGGGCTGGACCGAGAAACAGACGTTTGCAGGTATCTACGCTCATGGAAACCGCCTTGACATCTCGAAGGCACAACTCTGAGATGGCTTGCATCACTGCCGGCACGCCAACGGCTGTGTGTGGAAACTGTGCGTGGCACAGTTGAGGTCCATTGAAACCCTTTGGTGAGGGTGTATTGGAGAATCCATGAGAATCCCACCCCAAGCCTTGCGCGAATGGCCTCCATCCCTGGTGTTGCTATCTTTCCATGCGTTTTGAATGGACCTCGCGGCGCCGAGACCTCCCGCAAGACCGTCCCCCCGGGGAATGCCCCGGGGACTTCGCCCGGAGGCTGCGGCAGTACAGCGTGGCCATGGCCTTGCTGATCCGGGCCCGAAAGCTCTGGGCCAATCTCCAGGCGAATATCTGGGCGAGGTGTGGGCGCGTGCTTTTTTTGGTGGGGGTCAAGAATAGGTGCCCAAAATGGGGTAATTATTCTGGCACATGGCGGTATTCTGGTGGTTCAATTTGGACCCCTAGCCCTATCACAAGGTGCTTCCCAGGGCTTCCTAGTTACGACAAGTGAGATGCGTGCAGCTAACCAGGCTGAACTCCGAAAAGAAGATGCTGATCGAACCTGTTGCGCTCGACCGAATAGACTGGAGGCCAAGAGCTCAACGGCGACGGAATGGCAGGACGTCCAGGCCTGGGTTCCGACGTGGGAGGCTCGGGCTCGGTGGCCAACTCAGACTTTGCCTGTGAAAGCCCAGGCCCTCTCCTTGGAACACCTTGCAGCAGTTTTCCAGGCTCAGTCGATGGAGTTCGGCACGAGAAGCGCAGGGTTTCAAAGGAGTTGCAAGATATGCCTGGCCACACTCGGCCATCCTGCCACCCATTCTGATCAGGGAACCCGGAAGAAATGGGTGGTTTCTGAAAACAATTGTGTTCGAAGAGGATGGACAATTCACCCTTCTGACTCTTGTGGTGGATGTCCTTCTCGCGTCATCACCAAAAGGGCGTTCTTTCAGATCTGTGCCTTGAGCACGTTGTCTTTCATGACCTGCGTGCATGTTTGCTTGGTTCGGGTTCGATATGAGCCAAGCTGGGGGGGGGGGGAATTCCTATGGCATGAGCAGGCTTGTGTGTGCGTGTGTGTGTTGGCGATGTTGGGCAGGCATGCGCAGGAAATCACCATGCGGGCAGCGCCTGAAATGCAGGCGCGACTCTTCTCAGCGATCAAACTCAGCAGACTTGAGCAGAAGCGTGCTTCGCGAGGTGGTGCACGACATGCAGGATCAGCTAGATGCTACCATCCACACAGGTGACATGCAGCGACCCATGCTCAGTTTTTTAGTGTTTGCCAGTGCGCCAGAAGCCAGCCAGATATGTCCGATGTGCTGAGTTCTCAGGCACGGAGAAGCCGATGCTCAGAAGTCAGACGGAGGCTTTGACTCAAGGACAGCCAAACTAGCTTCGGTCTCGGCTGAATCGGCGATTTCCTAGGACCTGTGAGCAAAGATTGGAGCAGAAGTCAGACAGATGGTGCGCAGACCTTCCGTGCTTTGGAGGCATCATGCTACCAACTGAGCCACAATGAAGCTGAGTTTACCGGTTAAACATATATGCATGTTTTGGAAAATAGATTTCGAAAGCAGGAACTGGAACCTTGGTTTCCTTGCGTTGAGTGTTACAGTGCCAGAGCAACGCTTTTGAAAACCAAGGTGGTGCTACGCATGCTGGCAATACCGCAGGCAGTTCTGAGAGAGAGCGAGCCCCGAGTGAGTGACTATTCTTTGCATTTCTGAAAAGAAAAGGCATGACAGCAGCTGTACGTGTTTGGGGCACGCCGCAAGGCGAGACAAGGCGTCCGCGAACCAGCAGCAATGGACTCAGAGGATGCAAGTAGTCAGCGCGCTCTGAACATGGACCAAGCATTCAATTCAAGTCAAAGAAGTAGAAGAGAGCGGACAGGCAAGTCTTCGCAGTCTGCCCGGGGTCGGTCTCCGACATGCAGAATGACTGAAACTGGATTTGCAAGGCGTGGTTCGGTGAAAGCTCCGTCATGCCTGAGACGATTGAGAATTATTGAGAGTTACTGAGGCGTTATTGAGAGTTATTGAGGTGCTATTCAGCGTTATTGAGGCGTTATTGAGAGTTATTGAGGTGCTATTGAGGCGCTCTTAAGGTGTCTACTTGGGCATGGAATCCGTGTACAGATTGCTGTGGCAGCAAATTCTGCATTCAACCAAAGTCAGTACACCCAAGGATAACTTGGGCACAGGTCCCATACGCACAGAGACACGCACACGCACACGCACACGCGCACGCGCACGCGCACGCGCACACGCACACCCACACAAAAAACAAACAAACAAACAAACAAACAAAAACAAACAAAACAAAACAAACAACAACAAAACAAACAAACAAACAAAACAAACAACAAACAAACAAACAAAACAACAAACAAAACAAACAAACAAACAAACAAACAAACAAACAAACAAACAAAACAAACAAAAAACAAACAAACAACAAAAACAAACAAACAAAAAACAAACAAACAAACAAAAAAAAAACACAAACAAACAAACAAACAAACAAAAAAAACAAAAAACAAACAAAAAAAAACAAACAAAACAAAAACAAACAAAAACAAAAACAAAACAAACAAACAAAACAAACAAACAAAACAAAACAAACAAAAACAAACACAAACAAACAAAACAAACAAACAAAAAACAAACAAAAACAAACAAACAAACAAAACAAAAAACAAAAAACAAAACAAAACAAAACAAAACAAACAAACAAAAACAAAACAAACACAAAACAAACAAACAAACAAACAAACAAAACAAAACAAACAAACAAAACAAACACAAAACAAACAAAACAAAACAAACAAAACAAAACAAACAAACAAACAAACAAACAAACAAACAAACAAACAAACAAAACAAACAAAACAAAACAAAACAAAACAAACAAACAAACAAACAAACAAACAAAACAAACAAACAAACAAACAAACAAACAAACAAACAAACAAACAAACAAACAAACAAACAAACAAACAAACAAACAAACAAACAAACAAACAAACAAACAAACAAACAAACAAACAAACAAACAAACAAACAAACAAACAAACAAACAAACAAACAAACAAACAAACAAACAAACAAACAAACAAACAAACAAACAAACAATCACACACACAAACAAACAAACAAACAAACACGAACATGCGCGGAAACCGTTGGCTCACAGACATGGCGTGGCGAAAGGAGCTACAACCCCAAGACGGACTTTGAGCTAGCGTTGGGGGACACTGACCGCGATTTGGAGCGGCTGCCGCCGCAGGCAAAAGTTTCTGATTAAGCCCAGATTGCTCGCTCAAAGTTCAGGCATCTCTATTTTTCTTCTGCGAGCTGGCGTCGCTGCATTCTGCCTTGCAGGAGGACAGCAACAATTGAGCGGTGTATCCCAATCTTCAGTACGGTCACCGGAGCAGAACTGCATTGGGGCAAATGGAATTGAATGAGACTGCCACTGTTGGCAAAGCAAAGTCATTATCGGACCTCAAATGGACCACGCCGGCAAGGAAACGGTTGGCCTTCACGTGCCAACTGGCGGTGCCTGTCGAAAGAGAGCTGCAGGATGAGCTCGCTGCGCTCCTTCTATGGCGCGCGCATGGCCAATGCAAGAGGCCGCCACCGCTGGCGCGTCGGTGTGCGATTCCCCCATTCAGAGGTTGTCGCCACACGACGTGAACACCGCCATGGTATGGAGCGGTTGGCAGCTGGGAGGGATCAGAGCGGGAGAGTTGCAATCACATGCCAGTCACAGAACCTTTTGCAGCATGATGCTCCTGAACAGGCTGTCGCTCGTGTGATAGAATTGAGGTCTTGGGCGTGTCGCCTTCCATAGCGGCAACTTCGAAGCTGCTGCTCGCCTTCACATGCTGCATCCTCAGCGTGCAGCCTGTCAACCAGCATTGCGTGCTTTTCTCAACTGGGAGGCGTGCCCGTTCTGTTCGCGAACGAGTCCTCGGCGGGCCCAAGCTTTGGTTCACAGAGTAAAATTTGGAAGCTCATTGGTCAACGTGCTCACTTTATGTGTTTCTTCAGCTTGTCTCTGAGGGACACCGTTGACACGGCAACATCCTACAACAACCTGGCCTGTGCTTTAGCTGCCCTGGACCGGCCCCTGGAGGCGCAAATCCGTGCGCTTCTGATCCAGTCTTCTGTCAGACAGGCCGCAGCTTTCACCGAGCTTGCGGTGGAGATCCTGAGGGAGATGGCCGGGGAGGACAATTCGTGAGCTGGCAGCCAGCGCGGCAGCGCAGCTTGCGAAATGCGAAGGATCACCCCCGGACACAGACAGTCATCCGTAATCTGGCCAAGGCACAGGGCTCCAGATGCGCAAGCGTGTCTTTTCTTGTCCCAATCCCTGGTCATGCATGGTTCTTGACGCAGCTGCGCTTTTGCACCTTGCTAGGTCCGTACGGCCCCCAAGAAAATCTCAATGGAGGCTGGGAAGACTGAGTTCATGCGTGAGTCAACCGGCAACTCTGAGGCACCATGCCTGTACAGCCTTCCTTTGCACGTTGGCCGCCGAGTGCAGTAGTGCAAAGCTTTCCAACACATGGGGTCAAGCTGCCGCAGTGCAGTGCCTCCAGTGATCCTAGGACTTCACTCTCGCCTTGAAGGGAGGGTACAGCCGGCTGTGCGTAAGCATTGAGCGTTTGCACTTTGATGCATACTTCATGCAGCCAGGCGCAAAAAGAAGAAGAAAGGAAGCAGGTCTGGTTCGCTTGGCCCTCAGCTGCGCAATTCATGACTCCACAAGTCTTCAATAAAGACCAGGTTGGTGCGGGGTTTGAAGTCTAATATTAGGGGCTGGTGTTATCTTTTCAAAGTTTTGCTGACTGCCAGAGGTCACGCTCAAGCAAAAGTTCCAAATCCAAGAAGTGAGCTTGATGCGCTGCACCAGACATGTGCAAGTCCATTGGACAATCATGCCGCGTAATCGCAATTTTATACACGCAAGTAGGTGTAACAGGATCAATTCTTGCCATCTTGATAATGAACCCGAATCGCGTGCAGAACTGCAATGCGATCCATAATTATAGATTAAAATAGAATTAAATATAACGATTCAACTATTTATATATATATAGTTATATAAAGAACATATTTATATATGGTGAAATAATAATAACTACAATTTATTTTATTAATTTATAATTGAATTTGAATTTATATTGATTAATATAATATATTTAATCTAAAAAATGAAATCATGAAATTTATTTGTCCTATTTGTATGTTTTTTAGATTATTTTTAATAATTTTTGAATATTTTTTAAAATATAATTTGTAGTTATTTTATGTTTTAGATGATATGGGTTTTTAGTATTAAAAAGGGTGTTATAAAAAGGTAAATGAATAGATTTAAATTAATGTTGAGACAATGAAATTGGTCGATTTTGGCTGAATTCGAGAGATTCGAATATATGGCTTTTTAGATTGATTGAAATTTTGAGTCGTGGTTGATTGTTATAACTAACGTTGTTTTTTGTGTTATTTTTATAATTTGATTGGATTTTTTGAAGCTAATAGACTATGGGTTTATTTTTATTTTGCTTAGACGATGTTTTATTGATTATATATTTATATATTGTTGGTATCGAGCTTTTGAGGTATATTTTTATTTTATTTATTATAATATTTTAGGAAATATAGGTAAGAAGTTCTTCGCCTTTAGATATTTCGAATTTTAGCTTAGTGTAGAGTGCAATTTTTGGAAATGTGTTGTTTGGGCTTAAGGCTTGTTTTGGTTACCACTCGAAATTGCGAGGCTTATGGCGGTATTATGGCGGAGTTGAAAACCCTCGGGAATGGTAAGCAGAGATAATCAAATATGTATTTTAGATAGGGTGGACCAAGGATATGGGGCCTTATGTATTTTTCGATGGCCTAACGCCTTGCATTTCTGGGTATTAGCCATGATAGTTTGTATTTTTGTCTATGCTTATCTATTTTGAGATCCTATCCTATATTAATATGGCACCAGTGTTAAGAGCGTGCCATGCTGTCTTTCTATCTCTCTATTGTCTTTTTGTTTTTTGTTCCTAATTGTTCGGGGTTGGTTTTTGTTTGTATTTATGTGTTTGTGTTGTTATCGATGTTTCTTTTTATTTGTTGTTATTAATATTATATTCTTTGTTCGTTTTTTGTTTGCTTTTTTGGTTGTTGTTTACATTCCTTTATTTGTGTTTTTATGATTCTTTGTTAATTGTGCTGGAGTTTTAAAGCAATTTGTTTTGTAGTGATAATCGTATTGGTCGGATTTTGAAAGAAATTCAATTTTATAATATTATTTTAAATAATGAAATATATGGGGTATTATTATGGTATTTGTAGCTTTGAATGCCCCCCATATTGGCCCGGCTTAAAATAGGTTTATTTGGAATTGATTCATTAAATATAACTATAATTTGAGTTTTTGCTTTAAGAACTACATTTCGAGGTAAAAAGAAATGCCGAATTGAATTCGGAAACACGTTTCATGATAATATGGAAATTCGTTATTTTTATTAAATTTTAGGGAGTATTTGCGAAATAATTAGATGTGTTTAAAGTATCGTTTTTGTTAATGTGGTGGTTCTTCGTTGTTAATTATGAATTGTTGGATTTTTATTGTTAAGTAAAATTCATTTTCTATTATGTATTTGTTATTTTTAATGTTAAACAATTAAGTCGTAATATGGATGTTCGATAGCGAAATTATCCATATATATGGTATGTTTTTGTGTCGTCGTATGTTCTTGTTTCTTTATTTTTAAGATCTGGTTTCTTCATCTTAATTTATAAGCATGTGTCTCTTCTAAAATCCGTGTTTCTTTTAATATTTTAGATTATATACAATATTATATTTATATTTTTTTAATATATATATATATATTAATAAATTATATAAATATTTTACAACTATATAATTTATAATAAATCATTATTAATATATTAATATATATATATAATTAAACTAATTTAATACATTAATTGAATTGATTATTCAAATTATTAATATAAGGCATATTCGTGCAAAACCAATTTCGTATAAAATTGATAAAATCAATCAATTATTAAAATTATATTAATTTAAGAAAAATATAATTAATATATTTGTTTTATTAGCAATTAATTTTGTAGTTTGTTAATTAATAAAAACAATTAATAATATATCGTATCGAAAAATATTAATCAAAATATAATTAAAATTAATCTTTATAAACAAAATACGTCCCCCCATGGACCCTAGTTTAATATAATTAACGTGTATTTTCCCAAATTACATATTTATCTTTCCCCGTATTATTGTGGAGAGTTCTTGTTTTAATTATCTTCGCCCGTGTCTCGCGCAAATTTCTCCGCGTGTTCCGCGTCCTCGACGTTAATTTACATTTATTTATTCTATTATACTTATTCTTAAATTGATTTTGTCATACTTTCTCTCACACATTCAACTTACGCACTCAACTTAGATTTTGCCACACTAACTTTGTCACACGAACTCTCACACACTCGACTTACACTTACTGACTTTGCCACACTAACTCTCACAGACTCAACTCACACTGATTGACTTTGTCACACTTACTCTCACACACTCAATTTACACTCACTAATTTTGCCACACTAACTTTATCATATTAAATTTCATACACTCGACATAAATTCACTGACTTTGCCACACTAACTCTCACATATTCAACTAACACTCACTAATTTTCGCGTAGTACTTTCTACACTCCGGTGCTGTTTCGCATGGCAGACAAAATATGTTCTATCACTTTGCGAAGGTTTGTCGCCGTGGGTCGCCGTGGGGCGGCGGTCTTCTTGCGTGGCAAGCGCAATATTTTCTGCACTCCGATGCTGTTTCGTGTGGCAAGCACAATACTATTTGCACTTAGATGCTGTTTCGTGCGGCAGGCGCAGTACTTTATATTACCTTGCGAAGGTTGGCCGCCGTGGGGCGGCGGTCTTCTTGCGTGGCAGGCGCAATACTTGTTGCATTCCGATATTGTTCGCGTGGTAGGAGCAGCGTTCTTTGCGCTCCGATGCTGTTTCGCGCGGCAGGCGTAATATTTTTTATTACCTAGCGAAGGTTGGCGCCGTGGGGCGGCGATCTTCTTATGTGGCAGGCACAATACTTTCTGCACTCTAATGCTGATTCGCATATGGCAGGCACAACATTTTCTGCACTCCAATGCTATTTCACGCGGCAAACGTAGTATTTCATATTTCCTTGCGAAGGTTGGCCGCCGTGAGCCGCCATGGGGGCGGCGGTCTTTTTTCTTACGCGGCAGGCACGATAATTTCTGCACTCCGACATTGTCAAGCGCAATGCTCTCTGCGTTCCGATGTTGTTTCGCGTAGCAAGCGCAGTATTCTATATTATTTGGCGAAGGTTAGCCGTGGGGCGGCGGTCTTCTTGCATGGCAGGCGTAGTACTTTCTAGATTCCGTAATTGAAAAAAAGGACGGGCTGTCGCGCAACAGAGTAGAAAGCTTGTAGTAGAAAAAAAGGGTATAGCGCCATCTGCACGATGGGAAAAAATTGGATTCAAGAACTGAGAAAATATTTTCTGGGAATCTTGAATCTTGAAATATATAAATAGAAATCTGAGAAAATATTCTTTGGGAATTACATTTTTGGAAAAAATGCACGAATCAATCTAGTGGTAAAATATATTCGAGATTTTTAGGGGTTAACCAAGATGAATAATTCTTAGGAAAATTGGTATTTATATAATCTTTAATATGGAATTCTTAGCCCATTAGTGCAGTATTTTTAAGCATTAGAAAATTTTGAATGTTGTTTGGGTTAGCAAGGGTTGAGAATTTTTAAGAAAATTTATTATAAGTCGTCAATCATAAATCTTCCATCCAATGACAAAATATGTTCTAATTTTTAAAGACCCAATAACGATAATTCTTAAAATAGGCAATTCAGCCCAAATCTTCAAATTGAAGCGCTCGAGAACACTAACGACTAAAAATAATTTCAATTAATGAGTTAGATAAATATTCAAGTGCTTTTAATAAGTAATTTATTTCATGTCAATATATTTTTTTGCTAACCGCTAAACAAAAGGAAACATAATTTCCAATATTATATGTTATTGATGTTTAAAAAAATCAGCATAATTACAAATATTATATAAAAATATGCATTCTTCCATTATTATATATCAATTACCTCCTCCTTTTCATATAAATTTAGAATTAAAGACAATCATTCCTAAAATATGGTTTTTTATCATTTAATAAAAGTAAATTGTGTTTTGGATATTTTTTTGTACTATATAGAGAAATCATTTTTTCCGATAATTACCCATAAGCAGAAATATAACATATAACAACGCAAAAACATACCACATCTATAAAATAATTTCGAGGATTTTATTTAATAAATTTAACTTACAACACAAAGAAATATAGAAAACGAACGCTAATTAACAAAAAAAATCCTCCAAAATATTACTACCAAAACAACTACCAATTCTGTGGAACCTATACAAACACAACGAAAAAACATACAAAAAATATGTCCAAAGAGACATATTTCAAATCAGCGTAAACCCCCCCATCTATACCAAAGAAATTCCACAACTGTCGCTAAATCTCTAAGAGCTTCGAAAGACAAAGAAACGGAGAAACAGAGTAAGAGAGAAAAGGAGAAAAAAAAAGAGAAAGAGAATTAGAGAGAAAGAGAGAAGGAGAGAAAGAGGGAAAGAGAGGAAGAGGGCGAGAGAGAAAGAGGGAAAGAGGGGAAGAAGGAAAGAGGGAAAGAAGGAAAGACGGAAAGAAGGAAAGAAAGAAAGAAGAAAAAAAAAAAAAAAGAAAGAAGGAAAGAAACAAAAAAAGAAAGAAAGAAAGAAAGAAATAAGGAAAAACATGAAAAATACAAGAAACAACGAAATCGAATAAATCTCCAATTTTCCCGAAAATTTATCCCGGCAATTTTGTGGGAAAACGGCCAAATTTTGAAGAAATGTGCGGGGGGGTAATGTCTGGAGAGGTCGTCGAAAACGACCCAAGATTCGAGAAAATCTGGCCAGGTTATGCCCGCGAAAACCCCGAATGAAATTCTATAAAACCTCCCAAAAATTCGATAATGTTTCGGAAATTTCTAGGCCGTACTAAAAGAACAAAAGCTTGCGCCGTGGAGAAAAGACCGGGACGGGCATGGTCGCTCACCGCAAGCACGATAATTCGGCCGGAGCGCAGTTGCAGCGGCTCTGCGATACGCAGGAAACGCGACCTCGAGGTCGCGTCGGGCAGAGAAAGAGAGAAAGAAACAAAGAGGCAGAAAGAAATAGAGACAAAGAGATAGAGAGACAAAACACAAAAAGACAGAGAGATAGTAACAAAAAAATGCATAGAGAGAGAGAGAGAGCACAATAGAGAAATAAAGAGAAAGAGAAGCAAAGAGAAAAAGAAAAGAGAAAAACAAAAAAAGAGAAAGAGAACGAAAGAGAACCAGAAAAAGAAAAAGAAAATAGAGAGGAAAGGAAAAAAAGGAAAACATAAGGTCTTCGGGAATTTTAACCCGGTAATTTTGTGGGAATTTTAACCCGGTAATTTTGTGGGAAAACCACCAAATTCTATCGAAATTTGTGGGGGTAATATCTAGAAATCGGCCCCAAAATTCGGGAAATTTTGGCTAGGTTACGTCGCGCTAAGAAGCAAGAGCCTATGCCGCGAAGAAAAGACTAAGACAAGCATAACCGCTCGCCGCAAGCACGATGATTTGGACGGAAACCATTGCAGCGGTTCTGTGATACACAAAAAATGCGACCTCGAGGCCACTCTATTATTATTCCAAAGTCATCCAAATATCCAAATAAATATATATATATATATATATATTAGTGGGGGCCCGTTGTTTTCCAGCAGCGTGCGAAATGAAACTCATGGCAAGAGAATAACAGAATCAGAAGATAAAAAATAAAAATAAAAAAAAATATTCTACCAAATAATCGTAAACAGATATGCACAATCATACTCATAGAGAAAAAATTGGCAAACAAACCGAGCAAGTGCTTAACGAAAAGCGGTTTCGGAATATTTCAAGAAAATGATAATGGCTACGATTTTCCTAAAATATTTAAAACATTTTGGAAAAATTAGTCCTATAAAAATACAATTACAGGTCGCTTCATGACTAAGTATGCTGAAAAGCCGAAATCGTAGGAATATATCTCTTCGTAATATATATCTTATTTTTCCATATACCCCCAAAAAGTCTAGAACGCCCGGCCGTATATACAAAACACCAAAATATCCCCAGCGTAAGCCTAGGATAAGCCCTCAACATGCCCTTATAAAGTAGCTAAGGCTCGCTATTAAGCAAGGCGTCCATAGTTTTGCCTACAGCTCTGCATATCTCATATGGATTTGTGAAAAAGCTTATTTGGCGGTCAAACAATATCTGGAAAATTTGGTGGAATATCGCATAAGCCGAGCTCTTAGGGGTCAAAATCCAAGCCATGGTGGGTGTGCCAAGATTTTTTGCAGTTTAGGCACCATTATATTCTATCATATATATCAAACAATTCAAAATTATTCGCATACGAAAAGCATACCGTTTTCTAAACAAATCGCAAGATGTACTAAACGCCGGGCTAGTCGTTCTCAAACGCGCCTAGAAAAGCTAAGAGCGGCCCAATAAAGTCACACAAAACTCCACGAATACAAAGATATAACACACACTCATCGGAAAATACATAGCTTTGGATTGGGGTCTTAGAGGTTAGGGAATGGTTGTTCCCTCTCAGAGATGTCCCTGTAGCTCAAAAAGCCCCAAGAGCCGAAGAGGGGGACCCCAAAAGCCCAAAAGCCCAAAAGGACTCCCGGCAAAAGGGACCACCCACGGTCAGGGGAGAAGGCCCCAAAAAGGGGGAAATCTCGAATCTTGAAGGCTGCGGCTAAAGTGAAACATACACCTATATAGATGTTCAAAGAATTTAACCATAATAACACGGTGATTCGCAATATATTCCAATCCATTAAAAACAACCCATAAATTGAGACCAAAACGTCCGCAAAGACACGATCTCACGAAGCTTTATGCACTCTTCGCAAAGCATCGCGTAAGCCGAGCTCTCAGGGGCTAGGGTCCAGATCGTAACATCTGTGCACCAAAACCAGAATTCTCATGTTTGTCAAGTGGTTGACTCGCCGCTGGATAAGGAACCTCGCCTCTGCCACACAGTGTAAGTAAGCCAAAACACTGCATGCATAGGCATCCCCGCAATGACTACGCGAGAATACACGTCATGCCACCAAAGCTAGGCAGGTTTGGGCTTCTTCGTATTGCACGTGCAATGCCGGCGTCTCGCATGGACCTGGCGGAAATATGAATTCCTGCCCCGAGCAGAATCGATGTTAAGGTCACGCCAAAAAGCAAGTTAAAAGCGGTAGGGATAAATTAAAATAGGTGTCAAAAAGAAGAATTCCAATATAAAGTATCCACAAAAACACAATCTTACAAAATTTCATGCACTCATGGTCGGTATACCAAGAACAGAGCAAATCTTGCCGAACCCGCGCCGGCAAAACATTTTTTGCAATTCAATCTCCAATTTATATCTTATTAATCAAAAATATAGATTCTTCGCATGCGAAAAGCATACCATTCTCCAAACAAGAACGGACTAATCGCAACAAAATCAATGAAAGACAAATATCTAAGCAAAATAAAAACGAATCCGTGGAGTGACTAGCCTTATAACCTCGTATCGTCAAATTCTCGGCAAATAAACACAAATTTTCAATCAAAATAATTATGCAAAAACAAATATATATCCCAATTCTTTATTTAAAAAATATAATAAGTTCGTTCAATATCCAAACCATTTTTTCCAAAATAAATATATATATATATAAAAATAATATTATATCAAATATATCAATAATTTTATCAATATCTTTGAAAACGAGTTCTATAACATTGTTATTAATATCTCCAATAGCACCCAAAATAATATCCCAACCCAATTTCATAAAAATACCCAACGTACCGAGCTATCAATCTCACGAACATGCGTCCACGCCCTCGCCAGCGCCTCAAGCAGCGCCCCAAACATTGCAATGTTTAAAGATGTCAATGTGCATATGTTATATCAGTACAAACACACATACACACACAAACAGCGCACACGCACGCACACGCACATGCGAATGCGCATGCGCGCACCCCCGTACACGCACGCGCAGGCACACGCAAGAACGCACGCACGCTCGCACAGAGGCACGCAGGCATGCAGAACATAGGCCCCTGGCACGCAGGCACGCAGGCAGGCAAGCACACAGGCAGAGACCAACAGACGCACAAAGACACTAACGAGAAGGACTTGATAAATTGATCTTGTTGAGAATTTGATTATTTGTCGAATGAGGGGAGATATGATTTGGAGGTTGGTCTTTGTGGTGTTGCGCTTATCTAGCAACTTGGTGAAACAAAGACGCTGGCAAGCGACATCGTATTGAACTGCGCCCCTTGGCGCTGTCCCAGCGTCTTGGGAAGAGAAAGCATGCGCAAAGAAGGCGAAGCAAACAGTTGCCTATCACTTGTCCTGATTCTTCGGATTTTCTGGAGATCTTTCCCACATCTTGAAGCATCGCTCCTTGCAACCAAAGTCTGATGTTTGACTTCTTGAGCATGTGCCCTGCCTTCGCTTGTGACATCTTGAGACCGGGATTCTCCTTCGGGAAATGACGCATGGCGCTTGCGGATTGGATTTTCCGTGCCTGTCTGATCCCCTCCAGTTCTCTGGCTTCGAACTCCTGAAGCATCGGACATCCACAAAGACGATGTGTGCAGAATGCGCGAGGCTCCCACTGCGTAGGTCCTTGGCAATGGCATTAGAGAAAATCAGCCAGACCCTGCCTGCTGCCAAGGCACGTTTTCGACTTCTTCTCGCCCCCAACGTCCAAAGCGCTGAGCGCCGCATCAATTCCACTGGCCTCAAATGCCAAGCAGTGCACGTGAGCTGCCAAGCTCCAAACTGAGCAAGTGACGTCCACTGCGTCCTCCACACGGTTGAGGTTGGCTTCCAGCTTGGGAGCGGCAACCACCTGGTCAGGACTTGCGAGCTGTTTCTTGTCCAGGATCAATCGAGCTTGGAATTGTGCTGGAAAGGACTTGCAGAAAAGAAAACCGTGGGGAAGTGGAACATGCTTTAAAAAAAATCCTCGGCTAATTCCGCTTTTCACACGAGTCGCTTAGTGTGGAAAGACTGAGTTCAGCGTTCAAGAGGCTCTCCATCTCTCTCTCTCTCTCGCTCTCGGCACCGCTTGCCTCCGTCTTCTTGGTCTGCTTCTTTGGGTTTGGCTTCGCAGCAGCCATCAGCGCCTCGGCCGCTCGCATCTCGCATCTCGTCGGCGTCCCCTGCCCGGCCTGTCTTCTGGCAATCTCTGCCTGGGTCACCTCCAAAACCGTGCGGATCTCAAACTCACACCCTTAACTCCCAAAGGGGTAGCCTTGACAAAAGTTCAGCTGTCGAACCCAGCACCCAGAAGCACCTTGTAGCCGCCTCCCTTCTTGTTGGCTCCTTTCATCCCCGAGTTCTCCTCCTCCTCTTGCCGCTCCAACTCCTCACTTGCACAAATTTAAAGCTCGAGTCAGCACGAATTGCAGTGATGAACCACAGACTGGCAACTGAGCTGAAGAACCCATACACAAGTAAGCCTTCCAATTATGCCGCTCCTGCCTGTTGCATGCGAATGAGCAGCACTTAGGCTGTCACTTTTGTACACTTAAAACCCTTTTCGGTGCCATAGTAGTTGAAAGTGATGTTGTCGTCCTCAACCTTCCAAGGTCCTGCTGACTGGTATTCCTTCACAAATGCAAGGACGAGATTCATGCTGAGGTCCTTCGCAGGGCAATTGTGCGAGTTTGGATGGCCATTTTTGCCAGCCACGCAGGCGAACTCTGCCCATGCGATCGAGTTGGACGTGGCATGATCTTCTGTGCCCTTTTGACCTGGGCGGTTCAGCTTGAAGGTGTCGGGATCATCAAAGACTGAAGGATCTGCAAGAGCTCGGTCAATGCATACTGCCTCGTGCTCCCACTTGCCCTGACCAGTGGCAGTATCGCTGCTCTTTGCCCAGTAAGGCAGGGTTGTCACGACAGGATGATATCGCATGGTCTCCATCAACAAACTACGAACGTTGTCCTCCTTTGTAAAGTCAACATTCTTGATGCATTCAGGCTTGTTGATGGTTAGTATGTAGCCCATAACGAGATCAATTGCCAAGGGCACACTGCGGCCACCCGCAAACATCATGGCGTCCAAAAAGCTGGAGCTGAGCAAATCCAGCTTCTTGTCGGTCCACTCCCCGTCGGGGAAACGCTTCTTGATGGCCGGCCGATACATCTCCATGAACTTCGCACGGCCCACCAGCGTTGGCTTCGTGAAGAGCGCGTAGAGGAGGAAGCTGCTGCAAGCCCGGCCGGTTGGAGCAGCTGCTCCCAGGGATAAGGTTTGCAAAGCTGCCATCTCCATTGCATCTGAGTCTGTCAGGTCAATATCAAGCGCCTTGTGTAGCACCTTCAGCGTCCACTGTGTGACAATATTCTTTGCGTAGCAAGGCAAAATCGGCTCGAATGTGGTGCGGTGGTTGTTTGTATTGTTATGGTCGAGTGTTGTGATTGAAGCAAATAGCTTTCGGAACTGGCTTCGCAGAGATTCCGAAGTCCACCTGCTGCTATCAAACATCTCAGCCAAGTACGGGCGAACGAAGGCATGGTCCTCATTGGTCAGGCCAAGAATCATCCTCCCAGCTTCAGGCCATGACACATTGTTGAAATATTTCAAGGCCAACTGGCTTTCTCGCTGCCAAGTACCACTGCTGATTTTCGAGTCGATTTGCTGCAGCTTCTCTTTGCAGGTGCTGTAGCTGTAGTACATCTTTGCATTTGCACCCTTGGTGGCCACACTCTTGTCATCGTCTGTTTGATCCACAAACCATTTGCCGTACTCGACTCGCCAGTTTGGTTTCATAGCTGCAAACAGGAAGTTGATCAGCGGCCACAGGTAGTTCCCAAATGTCATGGTAACACCGTTGATGGTGAATTCCAAGAAGCCAACGTTCTGGTATGGGTCCGGATCGAACACACACATTGGCCAGGCAAGGATGATCACACATAGAAGTGGAACACCAACTGCGACAGCTACAAGGAACTGACCACCAGGCAGGAATGCCAAAATCGCACAAACCAAGGGCACAATAAGAATCTGAAGAAGCACCAGAATCGCCAGCACTTTTGTGAGAGAAGGGCAACATCTGCAGCCACTTTGTGGCCTTGCCCCTATGAGCGGCTCCTGGTCCATTGAGCGCAAACCTGGCTCCGCTGGCTCCGGGACCCGAGACCAGAGATGGAAAGAGGCTCGCAATGGTTCAAAATAGAAAGTGGCTACCGCTCGAGCCGATTTTTTTCTCTGCATTGTCCGAACCCAGAAACTTTGGCTCACACGGCCCTCAAACTTCACTTCCGTACCTTGAGCTCTGCTTTGGCTGCCAGCTTGGCGTCAGCCTGGCAAACCATGGGCAAAACAGGGTCATATGGTGCACACGTCGAACCATCACTTGAATGATTGAATTGGAACCCCAGTGTTTCCGTCTGATCATTATCTGCCACCGGCAAACCTTGGTACTGACGGAAGCGTGCTTTGATCTCTCTCTCTCTCTCTCTCGCTCTCTCTCTCTCTCTGTCTCTCTCTCTCTCTCTCTGTGTCTGAAAAGCCTTGGCCGCTGCATCAGCAGCTCTAGCTGCCTTCTTTACGGCACCTCTCTGAACAGTGAAGACTGAAACAGTGTACAACCCATATCTTGGAGCACGGCCGCCTTTATCATTCTCTTGCCAGGACTCATCTTCGGCTGCTTGCTTTGCTGCCTCCCATTGCCGCTGTTGATACCAGAGAGTGGCTAGGTCAGTTGGCCTCATCTTTGGCTTTGGCGGCGGCTGCCTTCTTATCTTTGGCGCTTGTATCACCGAAACCTCCAGCGTGTGAGATCTAAAATACCCACACACACACACAAGATTCGTTAAGCTCATGGCCCATCGTTATGCAACGAGTCTCTGGGCAGAACACTTACACCATCTTGAGATGTAACAGCTTCAGCATAGGGTGCCTCAACCTCTTCTCGAGGCCCATCACTCATGAGACTTGTACCGCACAATCTCACCTTGTTTGATCTTCAACCCGCCTGCCCCTGGGTAGCACGCGTGTGAGCAGCATGTGCAGCGGCTCTTCTTTTGCATGTAATTTCTCCTTCAAGTGCTTGCCCTGCTGCAGCGTGAGCAATTGGCTTCGTACGGCTAGGCTAGCGCAACCACACTGATACAAGTGTGCGCGCGCGTCATGTGCAGTGCCCCGACTCGAGTTCACCTCACGGACTCATGCGCACAAACAAGACAAGACCCACCTGCCCACCTTTTCCGATGCGCTCACTCGAGTCAAACGCGAGCTCTAAAAATCGGAGTGCGGCCTAAGTGCTGCAGCACGCGGCCGCTACCTTGAGCTGCCAAGGGCAGGGTGAGAACAGCTGAGCAATCTCAGCAACAATGGGATGCGACTGGGCATCTTGCAGACTGGCATCAAACCGGCAAGCTGTAGCAGAAGCTACTGGGCTGGCGCTCTTCATGTTGCAAAACTCCCAGCGGTGCGCAGCCAGCCGTGCTCTCAAAGAAAGGTGGCTGGTGCATTTCAAGACGAAAGGGTGCAAATGACAGTGCGTCTCTTGGTTTTCGCTTGTAGGATGCGCTGCAAACACATCTCCCTAGAAATCGAAGGAGCTCTCCATCTAGGGCAGGTGATGCCCAATTGTCGTGAAGATGGTAGGGAACACATCAGCCACTGGTAGATGGCAGCTTGAGAAAATACGATTACATGTTTGCTTGTCACTGATTCAGTGACTCACTCTCAGGCGCAACTCAAGTTGCTCAGGATGGTGGGGCACTGCCTGCAGCTGAGTGCATGTCTTGCTCCCTGACAAGCAGCACACAATCACTCCAGCGCTTGAATGCAGAACAATCCAGGATTGCTACAAACAGAGTTCCGCACCGCCGTTCTTCAAGCTGTCAAACAGCTTGAAGGGATCAAAACCGAGGGAGTACTCCCAGTTCCACCTTCCACTCATCTTCGTCCACAACGAATGACCGGAAGGGTTCCAGCAATAAGACTCCCGCTCTGAGAACGCAAAGATGTTATCGAAGAAGTCGTACAGGGTGAAGTCACCGCCTGTTCTGTCCTACGGAAGGTACAGACAGTGCCGCATTGCACACGAAAGATGTCGAAACAAAACAAGCCAAACGTGCAAGGAACACAAGCAACATCAGACATCAGATGTATAAGCATGTACAGGTCTCCTGGATGCGTCCTTGCGTCACACCGATAATGCCTCGAATCAGGCACAGCTCTTTGCTGATTTCCCCTCGTCAAGGTGGCCGTTTGCTGCTGCATGAAATACCTATATGCAAAAGCTCAAGTTTGCGTGCAATTCTTCCTCACTGACATCTTCGGGCTGTTGCTCACTGCCGGTTGTGTCTGCCCCTGCTTGCGAAACACGTTCCCGTGGCGCCATCAACTTTCTTAAGTAATCAGGAGTCACTTTGGTTCTGCATCGGCAGGAACCTATGACATCGAGTCTGCTTCTCGGAAAGTATGCCACTCCCGCAAGATGGCGCTGTCTGGAGATCACTAGGTGTGGCACTCGATGCGATTCAATGGTACTGACAATCGGCTCGCAACAAACGCCGGCGGCAAATTCTCCGAGGTGCTCGAGCCGAAGGAGTAGAGGATCAGGGACACCCAGAACCTCACTGAGTGTCCCAAGACCATTGGTCTCCAAGTGGTCTTCCAAACACCCCTAGAAAAATAGCTGTAGCAGTTTTGAGAGCTCTTGTAATTTCAGACTCCCCCAACTCTGTGGATGGAATCACATTAACGTACAAACCGCCCCTGGAGCAATCGAAATCATTTCAGCCCGTCTACTTTGAGTATCAAGCACAGCGCGCCAACCGAGCACGCAGCACTGTGACGAGAATGTTGAAGTCAAAACCCTCCTCGGAAGGTGCTTTTTCTCAGCACCCGTCTGCTGTGTGATCTTCAATTGTCTGTGCAAACTTCAACGGCTGATCCAACTGACTCAATTGACGGTAGCTACTGTAGATGATGGAAAAGCTGGCAGCTCGCCAAAGCTGTCCTCTTCTGTCTTCTTCACGGTGGCAGTTGCAGCAGAGGATCCGTCCTGATTCAAATGCCGCCTCTCTTGCCCCAAGGGTCCGGCATGCACGTCTGCTCGCTTGTTCTGCACTCAACTGCTGCCTGCCTCGTCCTCGGACATGGCCATTGCCATGCGAAGGACTGCGTCATCGATCTCCTGGTCATCACTTGGTGTCAGTGGCTTGAGGAAGGATGACCATATCAAAGTGATCATTTGCCAGTAAGATTAACTCGCTTGAGAAAGGATGACCATATAAAAGTGCTCATTTACCAGCAAGAGCAACTCGCTAGAGGAAGAACAACCATATCAAAGTGCTCATTTACCGGCAGGTATAGCTTGCTAGACCATGTCAAAGTGTTCAGGTACCAGCAAAAGTGTCTCGCTACAGGAACGATGGCCACATCTAAGTGCTCGTTTACCAGCAAGAGAAACTCGTCAGAGAAAGAATGATCATATCAAAGTGCTCATTTGCCAGAAAGAGTAACTCACTAGAGGACGGATGACCATGTCAAAGTGTTCACTTGCAGCAAGAGTAACTCGCTAGAGGAAGAATGACCATATCAAAGTGTTCATTTGCCAGCAAGAGTAACTCACTAGAGGAAGGATGACCATATGAAAGTGCTCATTTGCCAGCAAGAGTATCTCACCCGAGGAAAGGGGGGTGGCCATATCAAAGGGTTCCTTTGCCAGCAAGAGCAACTCGCCCGAGGAAGGATGACCATATCAAAGTGTTCATTTGCCAGCAAGAGTAACGCGCTCGAGGAAGGATGACCATATCAAAGTACTCATTTGCCAGCAAGAGTATCTCGCAGGAGGAAGGATGACCACATCAAAGTGCTCATTTGCCAGCAAGAGTATCTCGCCCGAGGAAGGATGACAATATCAAAGTGTTCATTTGCTCGCTAGAGAAAGGATAACAATATCAAAGTGCTCATTTGCCAGCAAGAGCAATTCGCTCGAGGAAGGATGACCATATCAAAGTGTTCATTTGCCAGCGATAGTAACGCGCTCGAGGAAGGATGACCATATCAAAGCGTTCATTTGCCAGCAAGAGTAACTCACTAGAGGAAGGATGACCATATCAAAGGGTTTATTTGCCAGCACGAGTAACGCGCTCAAAAAAGAATGACCATATGAAAGTGCTCATTTGCCAGCAAGAGTAACTCGCTACAGAAAGGAAGACCATATTGAAGAGTTCCTTTGCTCGCTAGAGAAAAAATCACCATATCAAAGGGTGCCTTTGCCAGCAAGAGCAACTCGCTCGAGGAAGGATGACCATATCAAAGTGTTCATTTGCCAGCAAGAGCAACTCGCTAGAGGAAGGAAAACAATATCAAAGTGTTCATTTGCAAGCAAGAGTAACTTACTAGAGGAAGGATAACCATATGAAAGGGTTCATTTGCCAGCAAGAGTAATGCGCACGAGGAAGAATGACCATATGAAAATGCTCATTTGCCAGCAAGAGTAACTCGCCCGAGGAAGGATGACCATATCAAAGTGTGCATTTGCCAGCAAGAGTAACTCGCTACTGAAAGGATGACCATATCGAAGTGTTCCTTTGCTCGCTAGAGAAAGGATGACCATATCAAAGTGTGCCTTTGCCAGCAAGAGAACCGATGACCTTATCGGGCTCCTTCGCCAGCAAGAGAAACTCGTTTGAGGAAGGATGACCGTATCAAAGTGTTCATTTGCCAGCAAGAGTAACTGGCCCGAGCAAGGATGACCATATCAAAGTGTTCATTTGCCAGCAAGAGTAACACGCTCGAGGAAGGATGACCATATCAAAGTGTTCATTTGCCAGCAAGAGTAACTCGCCCGAGGAAGGATGACCATATCAAAGTGTTCATTTGCCAGCAAGAGTACCTCGCCCGAGGAAGGATGACCATATCGAAGTGTTCATTTGCTCGCTAGAGGAAGGATGACCATATCAACCTGTGCTTTTGCCAGCAAGAGTATCTCGCTAAAGCAAGGATGACCATATCACAGGGCTCCTTCGCCAGCAAGAGCAACTCGCTAGAGGAAGGATGACCATGTCGAAGTGAACATTTGCCAGCAAGAGCAACTCGCTAGAGGAAGGATGACAATATCAAAGTGTTCATTTGCCAGCGAAAGTAGCTCGCCTGAGGAAGGATGACCATATCAAACTGCTCAATTGACAGCAAGAGTATCTCGCTAGAGGAAGGATGACTATATAAAAGTGCTCATTTGCCGGCAAGAGTAGCGCGCTCGAGGAAGAATGACCATATCAAAGTACTCATTTGCCAGCAAGAGTATCTCGCAGGAGGAAGGATGACCACATCAAAGTGCTCATTTGCCAGCAAGAGTATCTCGCCCAAGGAAGGATGACCATATTAAAGTGTTCATTTGCCAGCAAGAGTATCTCGCAGGAGGAAGGATGACCACATCAAAGTGCTCATTTGCCAGCAAGAGTATCTCGCCCGAGGAAGGATTCCCATATCAAAGTGTTCACTTGCCAGCAAGCGCAACTCGCTAGAGGAAGGATGACAATATCAAAGTGTTTATTTGCCAGCGAAAGTATCTCGCCTGAGGAAGGATTACCATATCAAACTGTTCATTTGCCAAAAAGAGTAACTCACTAGAGGAAGGATGACCATATCAAATAATCCAATTGTTCATTTGCCAGCAAGAGCAACTCGCTAGAGGAAGGACGACCATATCAAAGTGTTCATTTGCCAGCAAGAGCAACTCGCTAGAGGAAGGATGACAATATCAAAGTGTTCATTTGCCAGCAAGCGTAACTCACTAGAGGAAGGACGACCATATCAAAGTACTCATTTGCCAGCAAGAGTATCTCGCAGGAGGAAGGATGACCACATCAAAGTGCTCATTTGCCAGCAAGAGTATCTCGCCCGAGGAAGGATGACCATATCAAAGTGTTCATTTGCCAGCAAGAGCAACTCGCTAGAGGAAGGATACCATATCAAAGTGTTCATTTGCCAGCAAGAGTATCTCGCTAGAGGAAGAATGACCATATCAAAGTGCTCATTTGCCAGCAAGAGTATCTCGCCCGAGGAAGGATGACCATATCAAAGTGTTCATTTGCCGGCAAGAGTAACGCGCTCGAGGAAGGATGACCATATCAAAGTGTTCATTTGCCAGAAAGAGTAACTCACTAGAGGAAGGATACCATAGCAAAGTGTGCATTTGCCAGCAAGAGTAACGCGCTCGAGGAAGAATGACCTTGTTAAAGTGTTCATTTGCCAGCAAGAGTATCTCGCCCGAGGAAGGATGACCATATCAAAGTGTGGTTTGCCAGCAAGAGCAACTCGCTAGAGCTTGATCACGTTCGCGAAGCAATTGCGTTAGCCAAACTCGGATCGATCCTGGTCGCCAGAAGATTTGGCCGCCGGCGCCGCTGCCTTTTCGGTGCCGGAGGCTGCCGCAGCGCTCGCCCTGAAAAAGCGCTCTCGGCTGTCAAGTGATACGTCGCAAGTGACACGTGCCTCCTGGAAACCAGCTCGACCGGCAATCTCGCAGGACCTGCGAAATCTGAACTGCGCACATTTGATAGCAGAGCTCATGAAGCAAAGTCAACACGGCCATCGCTCCGGTGTCTGGGTGTGTCTGTGTGTACTCCTCGACAGTGAGGACAAGACATGTTGAATGTAGAAGGCGAACAGGCGTGAGGCTTCAATGCTGCTAGCGTCGCTGGCTTGCTTCTGCTGCCGCCGAAAGCAACAGGTGCTGAGCTGTGCGCCATGCACAAAGCTCCACGCGTCCCAACTGCAGGCAACCAATGCTGCCAACACCTCACATGCTCACTGCCCTACTGCCCTGGGAACCCAGCAATCATATGGCAACTAGCCGAACTATCAGGAGCATTCGATCCGCTGGGAGACAATGAAGGCAGTGCCGCTGGGAGATCTAGGCCAAGAGCGAGCACAGTCCCGCTGGATCGCGACCTTCGGCTGATGGCCATGCTTCCTGAGACAAAGACACCATCCGAGACCTCAAAAACAAAGACGTCCACACAAGAACCAGAATGACTAAAAATGCCGGCATCCCTTCACAAAGCAACTCTGCAACCCGAATTGCCTTGACAACTCGAATATCAGTATCTGAAACTCAAGCCCTGTGAGAAACAAAGGACATCCCCCTGCCTTCAGGCAGAAGGGTTCTTGCTCTCTTCACCCTAACTACTGCTTTGCGCAAGACTTCAAAGCCGCACACCCGTTTGCCATCTGACGCACATTGACATGGCATGTGCAAAGGATCTTGTGCATCAGCAACAGTGGCAGGCAGCCACGCTTTTTCAAGATGAGGCAGCCGTCAACGTAAAGTCTTCACTGCAGCTTGTGCATGGGCACAGGCCTCAGAGCCGAAGCAAGGCACCGTGACAAGTGAAAATCAGACAACATCTATCATGCTGTGCACATGGGCGGGCTCTCTGTTGGCATGGCTTGCAGGTCCAGTTCGGCATCCCTCACCTCAAACAAAGGTCATTACCTTGCACAAATCGTAAGGAAGTCGTTGCTTTGAAGACGTTCAGGTAAGGCCGCCTTCACCCAGGATTTTTTCAGAGCAAGTCTTTGGCCTTTGAGCATCTTGCTCACTATGCTGCTCACTTGAGTCACTGTACCACCCGTGCAGCCTGGACCCTGTTCGCACCGAGTGCCAGGAGCAGAAAACTCGCGCGCTCAGGGCTTCTTGGCTTGAAGCGCTTCTGCAACACGCTTGAACCAGGGGCCAAAGGCCTCGCACCAGTTTGGTTTGATTTCATGCCGTAGATGATCGAACCGGCCTTGTGGTCAGCCATCTCTGAGTAGAGAGGCAGGTCTGAGAGGCCCCGAATGCAGCCGAAGACTGCTAAATCCGACAAGTCTGGCTTCTCACCACCTCAGCGCGACAAAGCAAAATTATGATGCAGAATTGAAGCTCAAAACACTCGTGCTTGGGCATGCTTCTTGGGTGCTGTCGAGCTACCGCGGAAGGACTTGCTGCCAACTTCCGCCGTCCATGCCTGAGCCGAGAGTTCGTTCCCATTGCCCACCTTAATTCATCTCAGAAGACGTAAGCGCCCAGCATCCACTGCCGTGAACAAAGCATCGCGCTCGTTGTCCATCTGGTACTTCTTCTTTATCTTTCCATGGGCTGCTGCCATGCCTAGCGGCAACCACATGCAGCTCCATTGGGCGCCAAACCTCGAGGTCCGGACCCAGCGCCCCAACCGCCCGTGTCGCGAATGCTCGCGCCGGGGAAAACTCCGGACATTTCTGAAGGTAGCCAAGGGCCTCCGCATGGGCGCCAAGAGAGTCCTTTTCAAAAGGCAAAGGCTGGAAAGTTGTGGAGAGCTGACATCATCGCTCAAGGGCCCTAGGGCTGCTGGTCAGGCAACAAAGAGCGCTCGTGCCTGCCAGCACTCTGAGACATTTCTTGTGATGTTTGGATACACGCAAACGGCGAACTTCTCCTCGGCAAGTTGTGTCTTGACACTCGCAAAGCGAAACCACTTTCAAGTTCAACAACTCCGCCACTCAACGCGCAAGGTCGCAAAGAATCCACGTGTTTTTCGAGGCTAGATGCGTCGCACCACGTGCTCCACTTTCTCGCCTGCACATCACAACACGCCGGTTAGTGTCCTCAACAAACAGCAAGTTGTGGCGCTTCAAGAGCCACGGACTTTGCAATCCACACCTCCATTATTGACCGGGGGTAAAAGGCATTCCTCCCTCCTGCACTTGGATAGCGCAAGCTGTTTCTGGCCTCGTCACTGAGGAAGTGTGATGCCTTGCAAGGCTCTCCGATTCACATCTCATCTGCTCACGTCTCGTGCCAGGGGGCATCAATCTGCTTGGCGGCGTCCTAAGGCTGCTAGAATCCATGAAAGTCAGTGGGTCGTCAGCGGGCCTCGGACTCCATCACCTTGTCCACGATCTGCGTGGAGCCTCCCACCACGGCTCCATCTGAGAAAACGGCGATGGGCACCTTTTTGTAGTCCTCGTGTCGCCATTGATTCGTGGGCGTACATCGCTCCCTCTCAAGCTGAGACTCCTTCGAGAAGCTGATTTGCGACCTGGTGAGCGGATCTACTTCCACAGGCTTATACGGCACCTTGAGAAACTCCAGCGCAGCCTGCCACGCATCCACCAAAACAGAAGCCAAGAGTCTGCGCCTGGCCTTGGTCTTGTTGCAAAACGGGCAAATGGCATACCTGGGACCACCGCAGCTTGGCTCCAAGCCATACATCAGCATCTTAGTGCAGTGCTGATAGAGCTTCAGCTCCGCAGCACGCAGCACGGATCGCTTCATGGCTGCAAACCCCTTCAAGCCAAATTCTGCCAGGCCGACTCATGCGCAGCTTTGGCTGGGTGGGCGCTGGCGCGGCCCCAACTGAGGCACTGCTTCCCCTTCAGCTTGTCCAGCACTTTTGGGAGTTGGTCGTACCGAGATCACACCTTGACCGACTTGCAGCTGCCTGGGCTCCCGGGCTGCGTTCCCACTGGCTCCTTTGGAGTCGAGCCTTGCATATGTCCACGCCCTTCTGCCGACTCAAAATTCTGTGTCTTTCAAGTTCCGGGTGTCAACTTCTAGCTACAGCTGCTCAACCTCAGCCTGGCTCAGAAAGTTGCAAGCTAAGCGACTGGCTGGTCACTGCAGCCGGAGACTGACTCTCAGCCAAGCTGGCCTCAGAGCAATCAAAATCTGGCTGATCAACGAGGCAACTGCTTTATTTTCTCTCATGTGAGACCGACGGTGCACATCCTCAACGAGGTGCGGTTCGGCCCTACACGAAAGAGTCAGAAAGGATATGTGCGTCCTGTTTGTAGGCTTGCAAAGCTAAACAGCCACCATGCCAAGCAAGGACCAATTAGGTTCTTGAGTCTGAGACACCTGCTGTGCTTTGAGTGCCTTCACGCTTCTCTTGGCCTGGGTTGTTCGGTACCACAACTCTGAAGCTCTACTGCATCTTTTCTTGTTGAGACTTCTGCTGTGTGTCTTCAGCTCAGATCCCTCAATCCTCTACTCCTGAGCCCAAATCTATTTGAAGCTTCTGGAGGAGATACGTAGTCGCCGCCTGTTGCATCAGCAGTGGGAAGCCCAAACATTTTTGCACAATGTGGCAGTAAAAGCTGGGCATGCCTCGAACGCGCACAGAGCGTTTGGCCGTGCGGCTCTTGTAGTAATCAGACACCCTTTCTGGAGGCGTCCTGAAAGGGGGAAATACGCAGCTCACGCACAATGGCAAAAAAGTATTTCTGACTTTCATGTGATACATAGATGTGAATGAGTATGTATTAATACATTGCTGGCGGCCGCTAGCACATGTGCAAGCGGTCTGCAGTATGGCACCCATTGCAGTAGTTGGCAATCAACATTAAAGCGAGGCAGACAAGAAAGACAATTGAACTCGCCGCGCATCACTCATTGCATAGACTGTGTGCTGTGATTGCTACTGGCTTTTCCCTCAGTAAGCTGAATCCGCTTTGTGGCGTTGGAATCACCCGATTCTAAAAATTATCAAAATCAGGTTGCCACAAAGCGCAGCGCAGGAGCGCCAGCAGGACAGCAAGTATTTGAATCCAACCAGGAAACAAGAAGCTCGGCGCAGGTTCTGACCGCGGAAAAGAGCTTGGTGGAAGGCTAAATAAGGTTTGCACGAAGTACATGTACTGTGTGCTTGCACGTGGATCAAAACATGTTCCGCCAAAGATTCGACGGTGATGTGCACGGTGGTTGACTGTCAGAAGCCAAAGAAGTGCAAAAACCTAGCTTTTTTTACGATTTCAGTTTTGGCAACGGTGCATGTTTTTTGGAATAGGCGCTTTTCATAAAAGCAAAAACATTGACAGGGCTTGGGGTTTCAGGGTTAAAGTTAAAAGTGCTGAGTTTCTATTGGATCGCGCAAGCCAACAGAAACCCAAAGAACGGCTCTTCAAACAGAACTCTAAAAGGAAAAGCCCGCCAGCCCAGACCCTGTAGCAAAGGCTTTCAAATTGGTAGCTTCGCAACAAGTAGCTGCTGCAAGTCAGTGGCTTTGTGGACATGTCCAATGGCTTGAAGTGAGCCGCTTGCATGGAATCCAATCCAGGAGCTCTAACTTCTCAATCAGTCCTTGGAAGCTGGCTGGCCTGCAAACTTCAAAGCGGCGAACGATTTCAAGGCGTGCGTCTGACGCAAGATCTCGAGAATTCACATGCCTCAGCTCCACCAGTTCGACCGTCCTGAAGGAGAAGGCACTCGAGTCTTGCCACCAATTCCAGCTGTGCGCACAATCACCATCAAGTAAATGATACTGCGGGTGAACAAAATCCTGCACCACTTTAAACCCTGGTTGAAACCATTTGTTTGTTGGTTCCGGTGCCGGATTTTGCCCATCCGCATCTACACCGTCAAGTGAATGACAGGTCCTGAAAATGCCGCGGTGGAGCGACGGCATAGTGAGCCGAATCAGAGAACATGTACACGGCGACAGCGAAGACCTAGGCCATCCCTTGGGTTTGGCAGCAATGCAAGATGCAAAACACAACATCTTTTCTCAATCCAACTAGGGCGCTTGATGTTGAGTAACTGCGAGGTCCATAATATCATTGTATTTGGCTCTGCTTCTTGCATGGGAACTTGGCATCCATCAGGCAGCGACGCCAAATGCAGACAGCGACATGATGCCAAGCCTTTCAAGGCCAACATCTCGCCTTCAAAAACTGAACATCTCACCAGTCGACGCCTTTGTGTGATGCTCATGTCAGCTGCCCAACCACTTTGGGTCGTGCTCTTCCACGGCTTGGACGGATTGGGATCCTGAGGCACACAGGATCCTAACTCACTTGAAGGAAAATGCCAATCGCAAAGAATCAGAAGAAATCAGCTTCAGACCCAGTGACGGCGATGGTGACCATGACCATGACGGTGTGAATAGTGGTGTGGAGCATGGGCAGCATGGAAATCATGGGCCTCAGGCAGGAAGCGGCGCCTCTCTGGGAATGCGGTGCCCGTTCTTGGGATGCCGACATGACGTGCGTGTCCTGGCAACAACTCTTCCCGCGGCACTAGGCAAGGAAATCAAAATCAACATCCAGCTTGCTGGGGGTCGGACGGTGACCATGCCCGTGCCCGTGTGCGCCCTGTGAGGGCATATGATCCGCATGCTACAGCATATTGCGCAAGGTGCAGCCCCTGCGCCAAGGCACTCAAGTACCACGACACGCGGATGCCGAGCCTGCTTCATTTCCTCCATGGCGTGCTCGTACTCCTGCCGCCAACGATACGCTTCACAAAGGCCAAGTTCCCAACAGAACACATGCTGCGCCAGCCTCCTTCAGCTGGCAAAAGCTCTCCTGTCATAGCAGCCGCTCAAGATGCTTGAGTGTCGCACGTGCAACAGAGCTTTTCTGCGCGAATCAGAATCCTGTGCTCGATCGAAAGTGCAAATGCGATGTTGGTCTGCTAGCTTCCTCCAAACGGATGCCTCTTTTCGGGGCATGGGTTTGATCCCGTTTCGCATTGAAAGCAAAAGAACCTTCGGGTCACTGTCCCAATGGTGTGAACTAACTGGTTGATGCAGCTGTGCAAAGCTCTGGATTGCTTGACAACAAATATGAGATCGACCCAGGGCACACCTCTGCCGACTTGCCAGCAACATCGGGATGGAGCACCTAGCTCGTTTGGAAACACTTATGTGACTACAGAGCAGATGCGCCGCACCTTGACCTTTCGGAGGTAGGCAGCTCGAATCTGCGCCTCCAAAGTGTTGGCTGGCTCAAGTCGTCCACGCCAGAACCCAGCTGTCCACACGTCAAGGATCGGGATGAACACCAGGCCGTAGCTAGCATCTACTGCTCTACTTCCAGCAAAGCTATCGTCAGCGAAGAAAGTGTCCAAAGGCATCTACCCTCCAGAGTCGATGCTGTTGAGACCCTGCTAACGGCCGAAGCATGGGCTTCGCAAGCAGCATGCGGTGCGAGCGGCGCCTTGCTGGCGTTTGTTGGCAAATCAAGTTGCCTGAGCAAGACCGTCGCATGTCACAGCACTTTTCACTTGGTTTCACCGCTTGATCCTTGCAGCACAAAGGCCCCAGCCGAAGCAATTGCCGCACCGCGCTCGACGGCGGCCTCGAGCCAAACCATAAAAGCAGATCTTGAAAGCCACGCCAAGCTCAGTAGGCCGACATTTATGCAATGCCATGATCAAAGGACCAGGGGCAAAGCCCCATGCTACGATTGCTGAGAAAGAAGCTGTGGAAACTAGTTATGGGAATGTTGTGGTCTCTAACAAGATGCTTGGAAGCATGGTTGGTGCAGTTACACTCAAATTTGTTGGTCAAGTATTAGCGTCTTCCCTTGTATGTTGAGCTCTGCTTCACGTCTTCTGGTTGCGAAGGGCAACATGACAACATTGCAGTCGCTATCATCTCGATACAAAGCAGCTGCCAGCGAAGCGTTCAATCCGCAGCTTGAAGCATACCTCTTTGCACCATTTGTAGGGGCGTACATAAAAGCATCCACTTTTGCAGACACACCTTGGAACCAGCAGCAGCACTCTCTTTTCAAAGACCGTTGCCAAATGGCCAAACGTCTACACACGTTCTTTGCGCGCTGTCACATTTACAGTGTGAGGCATTACCCACAGCGGCACGCAGCATTTCTGCGACTCACAGCGATGTCTGGCCCAGCTGCACAACCATCTCAGTCGAATCGCTTGCGTGAGCTCGCTGCCCGTGACATTAGGGGGAGAGTGGTTTCATCGAGTGTTCCTTGCGTACCCAAGGCTGAGACACACGTCATGTTGTCCCCTCCAAGACCATGGGTCTGGCGCGCATCGAATGCATAAGCCAGGCTGGAACTTCCCCTTTGGCAACAGCTGCAAGCCTTCTTGGGGTCTGCAGCTATACAGTCGTCCAGCAGGGCTTCCGTAGCAACGGTGATGTCCTCTGTCAAACATCTATCTACAAGCAACAGTGTTCCAAAGGATGATGTCGTCGCTTGCTTGCTTTTTCTTGCGTTGCTTTGTCTTGCGCTAACTCTTTGACCTACTCGTCCTGCCCCTCACCGAGCCGCTTGTCAAAGTAGGTGCAAACTTCCTCGCTGCTCTTCACGTCCCACACCTGGCGAAGCACAGTGTTGAAGTTGCATACCACGCGCATGCAGAGTCCCTGGTGCAAGTGGTCTTGCCCAACCGCCCTGTGCGAGCCAGGTAGACCCCATCGCAGGCAAGGACTATAAAGTCGTCATCCTGGAGGATCAAATCGCTGAAAGTGTCTCATTGCAAAGTGGCACAATGGCCTTGCCCCGGGGCAGGCGAATGATGTCAGGCCTCAACTGCTCCAAGTGCCAATCGGACAAAAGATCTGAGGCCCTGTCGTTGAGCAAATCATCTGATGCTCATGCCCCATCTCACGATTCTTCCTCAGCGTTGCCAGAACTGTGCCACTAGCATGCCCGGCCAGAAAGCACTTGTCTGCCAGCTGGGAATTGCACTTGTATTCCAAGTCCCCGATTGAGCGGGAGAGGTTCAAATTCCCATTCACTCGGTGGTGTACCTGCTGTCATTCATGGCAGAAGCTTCTACATGCCACTGTGCAAAGCTCACCCGCGCTCCAACAGGGATTTCCTCGATGCGCCCTCCAGCTGCCTCTATGCCTTATTCATAACATCGCTTGGATCATCTTAGCGACGGCCTCTGCATGCAAGTGTCCTTCGAGCCCTTTCCCATGTTTGAAAGTGAGGAATAAAACAGAACGTTGAAGAGTCTCGGATCCCAACGGCGTCGCTCTTCCGCGTCATTTGGCTTGTGATCTTGGGAAAGCGCAACCTTTGCTCAGCCAGTTGTTTGGGTCCAACTCCACGGCAATGGAAGACTCAGTCATGCACAGGCTGCCCTTTGCGGCAGAGAACAGCGCGAGAGTCACCAGCGTTCGCACAAACCTGCAGTTTTTCTGTGGGAGAACCTTATTTGAATCGTTCCTTGGTCAGCACCCACGTGTAAGCCGCAAGCTATTTCCTGGTCCGTGAGAAGGACGCAAACTGCTGTGCACCTTGGAAGTGCTGGCGAAGTCCGAGTGCACCCAAAGCAAGAAGCAAAAGCAGCCAGAGCTTGGCATGCGCTGGACTCACACCGAGCAGGAACAATATCGAAAGAACTGAGAAATCTGTGAAGCGGCAAAGGAAGCTCATGGACAATGCAATGCCGAAGCACCCGAATTAGATAGTTTGACTGGGGCACCCTTGGCACCGTTGACCCACGGACAATGCCTGGAACCAAATACGCAATGACGCCTACAGAGGAACACGAGCGCAGGCAGGCGTAGCGCGTAGTCCGCGCGGCGCATCAGGCTATTGCTAGCGGTTAGGATGATGCAAAACCATCTAATCTTGCTGTTGGCTTACAACTACAAAACTAAGTAAGCCGCGCATTCAAGTGCTGCGAGCTAAATTGTGTTTATTCAAGTAAATGTTAGTGGCCCACAAGCGAGTTTGCTAACGGCCGCAACATGCCCGCGGAGAATATTCGCCTCGGCGCCCAGGGCCAGCGGTCCTCTTCAGAACCTTTCCAGCATCCTCCAAACCCCTCCTCCAAAATTGTAACCCCATGTCCCGCGGCCAAAACCCCTGCTCCAGCTGCCTGCCTGAAGCGAGCCTGGAAGACCCAGGGCAGGAAGCTTCCCGGCTCCAAATAGCCCATGGATGCAAGTGTCAATCCTCCCTGGCGCTGCGGCTCCAATCAACGCCGCCAGCAAAGATATTCCATGCCCATCCAGCTGGCGAGCCCCGCTCCGCAATCCATTACCAGACCACCTTTACCCATGACCGCGCCCAACTCCGGTCGACACCGGTCAAATTCCGTCAAATTCCCCTTCTAAAAACAATAGAAACTGGTCAAGGCTCAACTCTGGTCAAATCCCGATAGAAAGCGGTCAAGACCCCCTAAAAACGGCCAAACTCCCCTCCAGAAGCCAATCGAATCCCCCCTAAAAACTGTAGAAGCCGGTCAAACCCCCCTCTAGAAACCCATCCCTCTAAAATTGGGTCCAACTCCGATCAAATGTCCCCAGAAAACTGCAAAACTCCTCCGAGCAACCATTCTGTAGCTCTCTGCGGTTGAAGCCATGTGGAAACACACGGACATGCACCCACCCCGACTCACAACACAAGACTTCAAGGCAAACTGTGTGTACCTCAAAGTCAGCCAAAAGCGGACTGGCCGGGGCGGGCAACGCGAAGCGTTTACAATTAGCGGCCCAAGCTTGAAGAAGGACAACACTGGAAACGTCGGCACCGAACATGCTGAAGGAAACCCCTGCAGCCCAAACCCAACCACTATCCCAGCCACTCCATTCCCGTCCATGTCCAATCCCCTGCCACCCCAGTGCATGTGGAGGCCTATTTGAGTTTCGTGCCACAAGCAATGCTCAGGCTGCAGCCCAACATTGTCAGCTGCTGCTGCATCTGGGGCGAGAGAGGGAGCTTTGCCTCAAGATCGTCTGCATCCAGGAAGCGGATTGCAACACCACAGCACTGTTGCCCAGCCAGGGTTTTCCGAGCCGCTCACTTTCAAGCTTCCTGGGCGTCAAACTGGACGATGCTTCAAGGAAACAGTGAGCGTGAGAGCTTCAGTATCTACACCTGCCTCAACAACGCCATCTTCATCATCACCTGGCAGTGCCAAACCAAAAAACAGCTAGACTCTTCTGTCAAATACAACATGGTTCACGAGGAAACACTACAGTGCAAGCACTGTGCATTTGCTGCTAAGAAATTGAGCCCCCCTGGATTTCTTGCCTGATTTCTTAGCCAACCTGTTGCTTGCGCGAGGAAGAAACCCACCTCCGCGCGCCAAGAATTGAACCAATGCTTGTTGGTTTCAGGCGCGGGTGTGATGCCGCTGAAGGGCTCCTTCGCTAAGGAATCCGGCTGGATTCCTTGGCGGCCTTTTCAGGCGATGAAGGACTCCCTTACCAGGAAATCCAGGAATTCATTCCCCTAAAAAAAGACAAAGTTAAGAATTTGGCTAAGAAATCCAGCCCCCCTGGCTCCAGAGCGGTAGAAACCATCTCTTTTAAAGACGAAATGGACTCTAAGAAATTCAGCCCCCCTGGGCCTCGACCAACCGATTTCTTATACAGCGCTCGCACTGTAGACATCATGTGAGCAGATTCACGCCAAACACTCTGCTGTGCCATCACTAGAGGGCACTCAGGCCTGCTTGGCCTCCTCTCGGGATAGAGAGCCTTTGTCTCGGGCCTGTCAGCTTGAGAATGGACATATCGTGTGGCAAAATCCGCTCAAAGGCCTGCTCCAAGTCTGACTGTATTGAGTTGGAGAGTATGGAGAGGACCTCACGGAAGTTGATTTTCAATTTCGCCCAGCGAGAGAGGCGATTCCAGCCAAGCGCTGCCAGCTGAGCCGCCAACACCACGAGGCTTCCGTTTTTTGTCTTTCTCTTCAGCCTAAAGCTGGCCGTTTCATCCAATCCAACCCATCTTCTCACACCCGAACCTCCGACTCGGAGCTGGAGGACCCTGCGCGGCAAAACTCAGCAACCACAGCCCAGCGAACTCATCTGCCTGAGGAATCAGGTGAAGAGCTTGAGGAGGAAGCCCCAACGCCTCTCGTATCCAGGGTTTCATGCTGGTTTTAACCCTTCCATTCATGCAAGCACGCACGCACTGGTCTCAAGCTGCCCGAATGCATGCGGGCTTTCACCCCAAAAACAGCGCTTCAGAGATCGCCCTGGCGTGCAAAGTGCTGAGCCTCTTTGCGCAGGTCTGGCGGCCTCCCAGGATCGACCGGCCACATGGAGCCCAAAACCCATGGAACAAAATAACACAGGGATGATCAGATTTGGAGCAAAGCGTCTTCGCTGTATGTGGAAAGCCTGTCAGCGGGGCATTGAGAAAAAGGAGCAAAGGTTCCAACAAACCAAGTTTCCGTGGCAATGAAGCCAACTAAGAAGCTCACACGAACCAAACACAAAAACCCGCAGTGAACAGAAGAAAGGGCCAAACGAAGTAAACGCGCAGAGGGGAACGTCGGGGGCATTATCCTCATGGGCATTCTCAAGACAAACACCCTGGCCAACCTTTTCGCAGGGCTTGCCCAATTCCAAAGCGTGTGTGCTTGAATCTTATGAAATGGGAGGCGAGTCGCTCGAATTTGAGTACGCCTTTCCTTTTGACCCTACAAATCCACCAGTTCTTTGAGAGGGCTGCTCAAGTGACGCTCGAGCAAACGCGCCTGCTTCAATGCCAGCAGTTGCCGCTCATGCTCCGGTGAGCGCAGCATGTCATCCATCGCATGGAAAGAGGCGGTCAGCACCTGCGAGAGCTGGACGGTGCATCGTGATGATCCTTCAGATCGGCCAAAGAAACTTGCCCCAACCGAAACTAGTTGACAATCATAACACGCGCAAGTGCATAAACAACTCAAGGAACCCCCCATGCCCCACGGACGATGGTCTTTGTGGTCGATGAAAAATTAGAGCGCCCCTTATGTCCAGGACAATAGACAATGAGTCGTGTCCGTTGCTCACATGAAGCTCCAGCCTCTCCCAAACTGTCTCCAGAAAGACTGGCGCCGCTGGCCAGCTGCTTTCGCAGCTGCCTGTGGGACCCACGTAGTTTGTTGAGTCCACGGACCCGTTTTGGATTTGCGCCTCCGGATCTCGTCGGGCATGTGCTGCTTGCAAAACGCGGCCACCTTCCACGGAGTCTCTGGCATGCCTCGCTCCACGTCCGCGGCCTCTGCTCCCCCGTGTCCGTCAAACACACCAAATAGGGATAGGCCATCCCTCAGCTCTCAGGTCAGCCACTGCCAAGCAGCCAACACAACCAACACAGCCAACACTCTCTCTTCGTTTCTCATCAGTGTTTGGCTGCCTGTAGGCAAATGGCACAAAATCCTCAACTGAGGCAGCGAGCAGCTCATCTCCGAGTCCACAGACTGCCAGGTGAGCGTCCTGGCTTGCAAACGGTCAATGGGCGTGTCATCGTTTGGCTGACAGGGCTGTGTGTGTGTGTGTGTGTCCATTTAAGCAAACCAAACAGTTGTTGCAAGTGTCCATGACTTTTTTGCGGTGGTTATCATCCCAAATCGGTGCCGGGGCACCAACACACGAGCAAAGTTGCGCCTCCATGGTGGTTCTCCATCCCTGCATGGCGCTGCAGCCCCAAATTTCTCCCCTGGCAAAGAACGCCATCATGGCCATGTGAAATATCTTCAGCAGCTGGCCTGCCCTTTCCCGAGCATGACCTGGCGCAAAGCTCATTGAGTGGATGCGGCTTTCTGCTCGCCATGATTTCCAAACACATAACTCAAACCGACGATAGTGTATCAGAGGTGTACTCCCATCAAATGGCGTACTGCACAGCAGCTACGTTTGCTGCTTTCTCGCGCATGCATAAAAAGACTTGCGTCGCCAACAAGCTTGCCAGTCAGACTCCTTGTCAGTGACAGGCTGGGACCTAAGTCAAGGACTCAGGCAACACACGCCAAAGAGATGGCGGTATTCACTGTCATGGCCGCAACCGGGCACTGGGGTCGGCACAAATAGGAGCCCATTACATGGGAAGGCCCAACGATTTGTCGCTGAAGCTTCCACTTTCAATGCTCCAGCAATGGCTGCTTGTGAAGAGTTGTCTGGTGGAAGGTGGTGGGTGGCTCTGGGTGTGGCTGACAAGTGCTGAAGCGAGCAAACGCCAGGAATTTCCTAAGATCATCCCTAAGGACTAAAGACTCCTTGATTCGCCGGGCACAAGCAGTGACACTCAGCTTTAGTGAGCAAGGCTGAAGTTGCATCATATCTCCTAGCCTGCGCAAGGGGCAACGCTGTTGTGAAGCCATGATGTGAGAGCTTGAAGCTCTCATGCCTCATTACCGCTACAGCACTACTGGCTGCCTCGCTCAGCACTACAAGCTGCCTCCGCCGGAATCCTGTGGCAAGGAGCTGCCGGGATTAGGGCCAATCATCTGGATTGGGCCCGTGGGGAAAAGGGCATGCATCCCATATAGGCTTCTTCAGGAGTGGCAGCACTCAGCGTTTAACGCTGAAGATCAATTTGAAATTGAACACCTTTTGTCCGCATTCTACTGTGCTCATTACTCCAGCACAGTGTCACAACTCCATCGCGAGCAGCTGTATACTTTCCTGTTACCTGCCCGTTTGATGCTTGCACCGTTGTTTCTTCCAAGGCGAGAGTCCCCTGACCTTCCTCCTCCACCTCCTCCCTATTGAAGTCTGGATGGAACATCATCTTTGCAGAGAAAACAATGTCCGAAACCCCAAGCCAGCCATCAGCATCGCCAGATTCGACAGTAAACGACCAAGCGATGGTCTCTCCACATTTGAGGTCTCGACATTTGTTCAAGCTCTCGCCGGCACCGATGGAACACTCACCGGCGTCAGCGTCTGTCTCTCCGGAAAGAAGGCCAATCCGCGTTGCCAGCAGATGCTTCAGCTGGGCCTCGCCCACCATCTCCACGAAATCGTCGTCATATGTGCCATCCCCATCCAGCAGTATCACCTTCCGCGAAAACCGCTCCGGCACAAGGGACTTGAACCAGTTAAATGCTTTGACAGCCACCCAGGGTGCGTTCAACACATAGACCGGCCCCAGGATGTCAATCACGATCTGTCGCATAAACTTCATGTTCTTCTGGTTGGGCTCGTCAAAGGACTCCACTTTGGGAACCCCGGTTGTTCCAATCCCACTGCCGTGCAGATCCAGAATCGTCACGCACTTTGCCAGGCGGTGCTGAGCTTGGCTCAGCTTTTGCGCCTCGGCAGCCCGCAAGACGATCATCGCACGGACAAACTCCTCCCAGTGCTTCCACTCCACCTGATCCACCAGGCCCTGGCGGTCAAAGTCGCTCAGGGGCAGATACCAAATCACGTCTCCGGCCGGCGTCAGCCTCGGTGCAGAGAATACACAGCGGAAGTGCCGACCGACCTCCTCCGCATGGGGGAGCATGGTTAGAGACCCGCGCTCGGCCTGCGCCATTTTGGCCGTGACGTCCCTGGCGATCTCGTCCACGCCCCACTTGTCCATCTTCGTCAAGAACTTCTGGAACCAGTTCGTGGCCTCCGACAAGTAGCCCTCGTTGCCGCGCAGCACACGTGCCATCGCTACGTCACTCATGAAGCAGGGCCAGGCCGTGCCATTAGCTTCTCGCACCTGCACCGAAGCACTTTCCTTGTTCGAAATATCACCATCACCATCGCAATCACCATCACCACCACCATCACCATCACCGTCACCACCATCACCACCACCATCACCATCCACCAATACCACCACCACCATCACCATCACCATCACCACCACCACCACCATCACCATCACTAACACCATCACCATCACCATCACCATCACAATCACCACCACCACCACCATCACCATCACCATCACCATCACCATCACCATCACCATCACCATCACCACCACCATCACCATCACCGTCACCACAATCACCATCACCATCACCATCACCATCACCATCACCATCACCACCACAATCACCATCACCATCACCATCACCATCACCATCACCATCAAAATCATCATCACCATCACCACCACCATTACCATCACCATCACCGTCACCACCACCACCACCATCATCATCACCATCACCACCACCATTACCATCACCATCACCGTCACCACAATCACCATCACCGTCACCACAATCACCATCACCATCACCACCACAATCACCATCACCATCACCATCACCATCACCACCACCACCACCATCACCATCACAATCACCATCACCATCACAATCACCATCACAATCACCATCACCATCACCATCACCATCACCATCACCACCACCATCACCATCACCGTCACCACAATCACCATCACCACCACCATCACCATCACCATCACCATCACCACCACCACCACCATCACCATCACCAACACCATGACCATCACCATCACCATCACAATCACCACCACCACCACCATCACCATCACCATCACCACCACCACCACCATCACCATCACCATCACAATCACCACCACCACCATCACCATCACCATCACCATCACCATCACCATCACCATCACCATCACCATCACCATCACCAGCATCATCACCATTATCACCGTCACCATCACAATCACCATCACCGCCACCACCACCATCATCACCATCACCATCACCACCACCACCATCACCATCACCATCACCATCACCATCACCACCACCATCATCATCATCATCACCATCGCCATCACCATCACCATCACCATCATCACCACCATCATCATCACCACCATCATCGCCATCACCACCGACACCACCACCATCATTTTGTATTACCCCCACTATTACCAGCACCACCACCACCACCATCACCATCACCATCACCACCACCACCACCACCACCACCACCACCACCACCACCACCACCACCATCGCCATCACCATCACCATCACCACCACCACCATCATCACCAGCATCCACCAGCATCCACCAGCATCATCAGAATCATCATACTCATTTACTCACCTATCAAATGCAATCAGTATTCTAGGCGTACGTCGGTAGAGCCTAAATGGGGGTGCATCAGACAAGCTTCAATTTGTCTTGCCCTAATGGAAAAACGGCTTTGCGCTTTCGGTGTCCAGGGGCTCCAAATGGTCGCGGGAATTCAGTTTGGGAAGAGAGAATAGCCCACACGTTCAAGAGCCAAACCCCTTGGTCCGCTGGCACCGCCCACCTGCAACTGCTCCGCAAACTTCTCCCGGAGCCTCTGGATGTGTTGCAGCTCCTCCTCATCCGGCCACACGTCCAGGAAGGCCAGGCGCTGGCTCTCGTGCCTCCTGGGCTGAACTCTCTATCCGAGCCCAAGCGCCTCCCTGAAACTCAAGAAAGCGATCTATTTGGAGCCAAAGGCGCTGGGAGTTGCTTGAGACCAGCCCCTTGCGGGAGGCGAAGAGCTCCGAGAGCTGCTCCTGACCCCCGCAGTTCTCCACGAAGGATGAGTCCTTCAAGGCGTTGGAGGAGAGCACCCGGACCTTTTTCAGGAACTTGGCTGGGATGAAGGTCTTGCAAAGGCTGAAGAGGTTGGCAATGGCCCAGGGCACATTCACCACGTACACCGAGGTCACGATCTCTGCCGCCACACGCTGCTGGAAGCTGTCGATCACATCCCGGCGGTGCGCACGGGCAAAGGTGCGATGAACCACGCCTTCCATTGACATACCCTCCAAGTCCACAATGAGAATCATCCGCGCGAAGCGCTGATTCTTGCGGCTGAGAAAATCCAAGGCAGCGCACTGCATCACGGTGCAGGCGCGGCTGAATTTCACCCAGTGATCCCAGTCCAAATGCTCCAATATCCCATCACGGTCTAGATCAACCAATGGCAAGTACATGACCATATCGCCATCAGGGGACAGAAGGGGAGCACAAAGCTCTGCGTGATAGAAATCGCTGATTGCCTCATGATGAGGCAGCATGCTGGCATTGATGATGTGTGAATCGTTGCCAAAGCGGCTCAGTGCATCTTGCACCAATTCATCTGTGGCCGGGTCAGACAGCGTTCGGAGAAGCGCCTGGAACCACTCACAAGCTTTCTCCACGTTGCCCTCGGCTGCCCGGAGAATGCGTGCCAGTGCCACGGACCCCAGAAGGCAAGGGTATGCCTTGCCCTGCGCTTTTCGAGCGGCAAGCTCCTCATGGAACTTCTCCTGGACCGTCACAACAAACTCTTTCTCCTCCCTTGACAGGAAGTCAGGAGAATCCTCCATGCGGCAAAGCTCTGTCTTACCAGAGCAGCCTATCACATTCCACAAACATTGACATGTCGGTGCTGTTGGCACTGAGTTGAGCCTCGAGGCGATTGGTTGGATGCGGAATTCAACAAGCTGCCTGGACAGCTGTTCGACCTCCTGTACAGGTGCTCTGCAAGCAGTCAGAATGCGTTTGTCTCTTCCAAAGCTTAGCTGCCTCTGGTAAAGCGATTCGAAGCAGCCCTGCACTTTCGCTGCTGAATCTGCTTCGTTGCCATGTGAGCCCTGCTTTGCAGGGAATCCTTTCACAGCGAATTCGAGCTAGCAGTCAGGGGTAAGCTTCAGCAGAGGAGTCACCGCAAATTCTTTTGTACACTGGTGCAATAGGACAGAGCCCCCGGTGGCCCTCTTGCCTGGAGCAGCCTGGCAGTCAGATTCCCTTTTAGGCCGCATTAGGAATGTTTTGTTTGCACTTCGGATCCCCTCAAGCATGGCGATCAACTTGCTTTGCTGTGTCCAGCTTCGTTCCTGATCCCATGATCCCACTTCAAGCCGAGCATCTGAGCAGCGATCTACACCACCGGTTGTTCCGGTTGTTCCGGTTGTTCCGCTTGGGCTGCCGGGGGCTGGGGCTCCTACCGCACAGCCCACCAGCATTGAGCCAAAGACTTACATTCACCAAACGGGGCATAGTTTAAGAATGGGGAACCCAAAAGATGGAAAGGCGGTCATTCTGATTTTCCACAAAAACAAAGCTAGAAAACTAAACAGCATGGAACAAGCCACAAGCGCTTGGCGGGCCTCCACGAAGGAAGGAGGCTTCTCGGTCCCAACCTTGTCCCCATTGCCCAGTCCGATCGCTCGGCGCAAAACCGGGGGGAACGGGAAAAACGGAGGACGGTCCATGCGAACAAGCCCCGAGGATTGTGACTCGAGAGGACCCGAGAGGAGAAAGCGAGTCATGGACCCATGTTGATCACCCAAATGCAGTTCTCTCTTTAGGCGCCGGACAAGGTACGCCACCGTCTTTGAGCGCAGCTTACTGCGCATGTGCGAACTCGTCACAGTTCAGCACCCATTCATCCGTTGTGAATAGTGGCTCGCGTGACACAAAAAAGAAGAAGAATAGACAACCTGTGCGACGTCTCACAAAGCGAGCCTGAATCTGTTGTCAAACGCCAGGATCATTGTTCGGTCCTCGTCTGCCTTGACATCTTCCAAAGCAGCTTCAAGCGTGGGTTATTCCGGTTCCTTTGCACCAAACCTTGCCTTGTGCTTCATCACGACGTGCGTTGCGCCAATGTGCACAGCGCAGCCCATCACATGACAAATTCTGAGCCATGAACCACCCAACTGCCAGAGATGGTGTCCTTGTTGTCATATCGCTCCACTGCCAAAACCTGCACAAGAGATCAGCCTTCCAGGTGTCCTTCGGACTTCCATGCTCGATCCATCAGGCCATTGGTGACACTTGCGTAACACTGCGCCTCTTCTTCCTGCGCTCCTCCCCAGACTTGAACGCGCATCCTGACCTGCAGGTGTTTCACCGGGGGCCCTTCTGCAATTTGCAACGCTATGCCACAAAATCACCACGCACGGGAAAGGAAGGCTGCAGCACTTTTCTTATGCCATTGCTGAGTTGCTGTGACAGGCAACTACGGCGATTAGGAGCACCAGCGGCCATAAGATGACGGCGCCAGGATACTTTTTGGTCGAGGACATGGGCGGCGCCGGGCCTTTCCAATCGCTCAGAGAAGCGACCACGGAATCAGGGCACCACTTTGAGACCAGCTCAAAACCTCCAGAACTGGCGTGGATGCTTTCAAACTTTTCAGTCGCATCCTTGCCTGCCTGGGCAAGGAGGATTTTCTCTCCTCCGGGATGCCTCGAGAGGAACTGGGAAACATCGATCACCTGCCCATAAAGGGCAATTAAACAGTCTCCTGCTTGGCAGTGTGCTGCCAACTCCTCGAGGGTCATTTGCTTCTTTCCTGGGTGCATGAAGAACATACCACAACGTAAGACGACACAGCCTGATCGGACCCTAAGCTGCAAGAAAAGACTGCTAACAGAAGTTCAAGACAAGAATCTTGCTGTCAGCAAGGGCATGAGCTTGTCGTCAGGATCATGAATCTGTTGCTGAGCCCAAGCGGCTACAGACAACTGTCCAGTCTCCTTGAAAGTGTCCCAGTCTGCCCAAGTGCCACACAGCTTGTCTAAGTTGACGGGGAAAGGAACCCCATAGTTGCATTCAAACTTTGCATGGTGCAGGTAATGAAAGTCCGCATGGCCAGCTGGTTCGTCCATGCCATCGTGACCCCCAATAGGCGCAATGTCAGCGTGGAACTTTGTGTACAGGAAGTGAAGCGGGTGCAAAGAAAGCAGCAGCGGCGGAAGGGTTGCACAAGTGTAGTACAGGAAGTGCTCCACCGGATGCATGCAAAGACCAGCCCAAGGACCAGGATTGTAAGACTTGTGGTGCAGCGAGTGCACGTGGCGGTACAGGAACGCTCCGACATCGCCACTCAGCAAGCCATTGTCTCGGTCCCACCAGGGATGCATTCCGCGATGGGCACCTCGGGCGTTTAAAAAAAAAAACACGAAGCGACCCCTTGCTGAAAGCTTGGCATTCGGGGGAAAAATGGCGTTTGGCGCCCCCAGCATTCTCAAAAAATCTGCTTTCAGGTGATGGTCGCTGAAGGACAATTGGGTAAGCTGAAGGTTCCTTCAAACGCTACCGAAAAGATAGAGGTGGGTCTAGGTTTAATCGAGCCAAAGTTGTTAATCTGAGTCAATGCCCCTCGCATTTGCTTGCACCTCATGGTGTGAAGGAAAACACGTGGCTGAGAATGCTGGGGATGCTGGGAATGCTGGGTATGCTGGGGATGCTGGTGATGTTGGTGATGCTGGTGATGCTGGAGATGCTGGGAATGCTGGGAATTCTAATGATGCTGATGATGCCGGTGATGCTGCGGATGCTGGAAATGCTGGGAATACTGGTGATGCTGGTGATGCTGGAGATGCTGTTTGGCCCTTTGAGGATGTTGGCCACGCAGTTGCCTGCTAGTTCTTCTATCTATCTAGCTATCTTATGTTTTGGCCGCGTCCAGTGCGAAGTGCGGGCTCGTGTGCGATTGGGCCTTTGCTGGCGCTCGCCGTGATCTGCAAATTCACGCGTTTCCTTCATTTCTATGCTCTTCATTATACACCTTTGATTGCTACATACACATGTTTGCCTGCATTCCGCATGTCATTGCGGGGCCAGATTTCAACAGCGTCTTGCTGGCAATGTCTGTTTATGGTAAACCTTGCCGGGGGCTGTGACTAGGGATGATGTTTGCTCTCGAGTTTCTTGTGTTCCTGATAGGATGACTGCGACAAAGGTAGAAACGCCCCACGCGCTGAATCTGGCGCAATAGCCAATCACATAGCTGTAGTTTGTCTCACGCTCCGTTCTGCCAGCATCCGACCGCGTAACGCCGCACATCGCTGATTTGCGGCAGATCTGCATTGATATATGTTAGCTTGCGATGACCAATTGGCGGCAGATAACCATATCCAATTCCAAACGAGTACCATAATTTCCTATCCGACATGAAGTCAAGAGGCAGTAGAAGTGAAGCTCACGCCAATAAGCAACTAGCCACAGGACGAACAGGCTGTAGATGGGAAAAGCCCAGAAGTCTGAGTACACCGGAAGCACTCCAGAAGCCCAGAGCTTCATGAATACGCATTGCCACGCCGCCGATTGCAACCAGCCAAGAGTGGTGAAAGTGATCTCTCGCTCCAGCTGACCTGTTGCTGATGTCATCATGCCAGCCTCGCCTGACTGTGGCTCATACTGATTCGTTGGGTTGTATTTGAGACCTGCAGTCACAAAGGCGTTGTAGACCCCAGAGACGTATATAAAATAATGCCAGAAATTGCAGAGCAGCACCTCGCATGCCAGGTTGAACAACACCACCCGCGAGACCCAACCAATCCGCCAGTCTTGGCATTCCGTGAGCCACGCGCCAGTGGAGAAGAAGAGCCAGTAGCACAGCAAGGCGGCCGAAAAGTCCAGCGCATGGTTTGCATGTGCGCCCAAAGTGTAGGTCCACAGGTCATCGGCCGTCCAGCTCTCCGACTCAATCAAACCAGGGCAAATCTTCCAGTCACTCCAGGCAGAGCCAAACAGAGCCTGCCGCGTCCCAAAAAATCCGCGCCGCTTCTCCGTGTCGCCCTTGCGCAGGGCAAGCGCACCCGCCAAGTTCTTGAGGCCGAACGTCATGGTGCCCAAACCAAGGAGCCAAATGCTAAGGTCAGCAAGCACAGAACAAAGCACAGAACCCAAATCAAAATGCAAACCGCAGGCACTGGCTGCCTGCAAAATGCGCTATCCCTTCGATTCTGAGCTGACTTTGACTCTGAGCGGAGCACTGCAAAGCCAATGTCGTAATCCTCGCGCAGATTGAGGATTTGTTTGATCGATGGAGCAACAACAGTGTAATGATTGATCTGTTGCAACCCAGATTGAGAAAGGTTCTCCAAGAAATGCCAACCCAAAAGCCGCAGCCGCTGACATCCTCAGCAACCGTGCTGCGTCCTTAACGCGGAAAGTCCACCGAAGTGTACTGCCCTTGGACACGTGATAAGCACCTGAAGATGAGAAAGGAATGCGACAAGCGCATTCCGGCATGTGGGTGGCCGCAGGTTTTCGTCCATGCTTCCATTTACCAGGGTTCCATTTTGGGTACCCATTTTGGACCCACGGCCATGTCCCATGAGATCCACACTTTCTGGGCGCCCACACAGGTGTGCTCCGTCCGCGCCGGCACCAAAAGCTCCTCAGCGCCTTTTTTGCCAGGCGAAAAAAATGCGGAGCTCGCGAGTAAACACGAAGTCCGGCCTTGGACCTTGATGTCCTTCCACTGCTCCTGAAACATTTTCAAATCCTCCCATCGAATCTTCTCTCTCTCTCTCTCTCTCTCTCTTGACTCTCCGGACCTCCCTGGCGGCGATGTCCAAGGTATCTCTGGCGGAACCCCGCCAAGCCACTGCACTCACCTGAGCTGATCCAAAAGAGCCACTCGAAAGGCACACATCGCAAGAAACTGACAGCCTCAGGCTGCGACTCCCTCTGTCCGAATTCGTTGGATGCTGCCTCGGCCTTTCTCCCATACCTGGCAAAAGGGCTTGTCCACAAGTTGTTGTGTTTTTCAAGCAAGCTGATTACAAAACCCTGTGCCCAAACTCCGTGCAGCCACTAACACCATCAATGTTGACGGCTCTGACTAGAACCTGGCAGCAACCATGCGGCCCAAGTCACAGTGCCAGCTCCCGCACGCAATTCCCTTGTTTTCTCCTGCATCGATGCAGGCCAAAAGCACCCGAGAGCAAGCCGGCCTTCACGGCTTCGAGTCCCTGCTGCGTTTTCTCCATCACCACTTTGCCGGTGTCCTGGGACGACCCGCCGAAGACCCCACGCCGAAGCCTCCGCAAAGGCGGCTTCGGGTCCTTGGCGACCTCGAGCCCCTTCTGCACACGCTCAGACTCGGCGATCTCCGAAGCTCGCCTGGCATGCCCAGGTGTGCCATATGCCCAGGTGCAAGCCATAGGTGCAACGCCATGGCGCAGAAGGCCATGCCAGGCATCACTTCTTCGCCCATTCCACGCTCTGCTGGACTTTCTCGTTCTCCGTCACCCTTTGCGATACTTCCTCACAGCCACACTTCATTTCGGACAACAAAAATGTGACTATCGGCTGCTGGCCCTGCCTGTATTTTTTGGTAGCCTTTTTGGACCGACCTGGAGCGAACCCAAAGAAAACTGTGCTTGCCTGCCTCCATGTCAGACAGTACAGCATCCAGGATCATGGCTCCATCTTGGCCACTCGCTGAACTGTTGGCGCAACTTTGTCCTGCAACAACTTCGGCAACTTGCCATGCAGTGAGAAGATTGAGGAAGACCACACCCTGGAAATGTGTTTCTGGGTCGGGGGGTGAACCACATGGATTCGAGCCGGGAAGGGGGGGATAATTGATAAAGTCAATCTTTCGGCATTTCAGCCCCTTACCTTGCTTGGGCAAGGAGAAACTTCAGCTAGCTACAGCTAGCTTTCGTGCTATTGGGCTTTGACATGTGGCATGCCATCTGCGACCATGCCTGGCAGCTGAACTGTCCTCTCAGGCTGATCCCTGCAAACACTTGAGCCTGCACTATCCATGGATGTCTTGAAATCTGCTCAACATGGTCATACTGGTTGTGGAAGACCCCTCACCTTTCAGTTCCTTGATGACAAAATTTCAAAAGGCAAGTGCCGAGGCGTTGACTCTGAGCCAGCGCCATGCATCCCAAGCTCTCGTTGCCTTCCCTTTTGAACAGCCGGCCAGCTGGAAGATATGCACAAATCCTCTCAGAGTGCCGTGGCTCCAGGCATCAAGAAGCGGCGCGCACGTTGGCGGCATCCCAGATCACCGGCCGAACACTAAAACATCAAACATATGCAGCCGAGCACTTCACTCGGGCTCGGCCTCAGATGGGGCAACGTTACTGAACAAGTCCCGGCGCGAATGAACCATCTCAATAGAAAATCTCAACAAGGCCGACTCTGAGCGTCCGCACCTTGGGGATCTTTTCCCAGTCCACCATCCTCCAGCGTCCGTTGATGTGCAGCCGCACCCGATACCTGGATCCAACTCCATGGCTCGGCTCTTTGCTCAAGAGGCGCCTGGCCTCGCTCCTGGCTCAGCCACGAGGTCCGCGTGGAGGTCTGCAGGCCGCTCGGGGGCGAGCACCTGGCACACGCGTCTGTACGCGTCAGTAACTCCACGCTTGGTCCCGGCCTGAAACGGCCCCGCGAGCTTCGCGGGCTCGTCCGTCAGTTCCGCCTCCGGCCAAAGAGCCCACAGGACTTGAGGAAAACAAGGGGTGTAAGGCAGGCCTGCTTTGCGTCTCGTGGCCGTCCATCGATTTGCCAGCTGAGAATCTGAGGGGCCGCCTTGGGAGACAGCTCAGCCCACTCGCAGCCAAGCTTCGGAGCCTCGCCTCAGGGCCACTCAGCGGGCAGCTCTCATCCGCCTAGCTGCGGCCAGGTCTTGGTGTTTTGATCTTTCTGCTCGCATCAATCCGGGCCTCTGGTAAAATAGGATACAGGACTCGGGTTGGATCTCCATCCAAAGCAAGCTGGAAGCTTTCACACCTTGGCACAACACTCTTGCATGGTCAGGAAGGCCCGAGACAGAACAAAACTCGAAGGGGCATGCCTCGCTTCGCATTCAAGTGTAAGACTCATCGGTAAGTGAATCCTCCATGATCAAAATGGTTAGTGTCAAATGGGAACAGAGCCCGTGTCAACGAACTGCTCAATCCAATTTTGACTCCAATTCACCCACTGAGCAGCAGCCAAAGCATCTCTCATGTTTCATTGCTTCAGAAAGAATTCTTCAAGGTTTTCTTGTTTCCTCTCTGGATTTGACATTGAAGGCATCTATGTCCCCCACCTGCTCTCGCCAAGGATGATGGTGAAGCCATAGACTCCCGGACCCTCACGCTCCATCGCTTGAGGACGCCACCTCGCCGGCTCTGAGCGTTGGGCTTTCAACAGCCGCTCTCTGCAAAAGATCCCCTAGCCGCTCTGCGCGAGCAAATTTTGTACATACATACATACATACATTACATTACATTACATTACAATACATTACATTACGTTACGTTCCGTTACGTCACCTTACGCTACGTTACATTACATTACATTACATTACATTGCATACATACAAACATACATACATACATACATTACCATACATGCATTACCATACAGTACATTACATTACATTACATTACATTACATTACATTACATTACATTACATACATACATTACATACATTACATACATTACATACATTACATACATTACATACATTACATACATTACATACATTACATACATTACATACATTACATACATTACATACATTACATACATTGCAAACATTACATACATTACATACATTACATACACCACATTCATGAAACAAACTTTACATACATTACATGCATTACATACATACATACATACATACATACATACATACCATACCATACCATACCATACCATACCATACCATACCATGCCATGCCATACCATACCATACCATACCAAACCATACCATACCATACCATACATACATACCATACATACCATACATACAGTACATACCATACATTACATTACATTACATTACATTACATTACATTACATTACATTACATTACATTAATACATACATACATACATACATACATACATACATACATACATACATACATACATACATACATACATACATTAATACATTACATACATACATACATTACATTACATTACATTACATTACATTACATTACATTACATTACATTACATTACATTACATTAGATTACATTACATTACATTACATTACATTACATTACATTACATTACATTACATTACATTACATTACATACATGTATACATACATACATACATACATTACATACATACATACATACATGCACATACATACATTATACATACATACATTACATATTACATGCATGCATACACACATACATACATTACATTACATTACATTACATTACATTACATTACATTACATTACATTACATTACATTACATTACATTACATTACATTACATTACATTACATTACATTACATTACATTACATTACATTACATTACATTATACATTACATTACATACATACATACATACATACATACACACATACATACATACATACATTACATACATATACATAAATACAATACAATACAATACAATACAGTACAATACATACATACATACATTACATACATACATGCATACATACATTACATACATACATACATACCTACATACTTACATACATTACATTGCATTACATTACAGTACATTATATTACATTACATTACAGTACATTACACTACATACATGCATACATTACCATACCTTACATTACATTACATTATAGTACAGTACATTACACTACATTACATTGCATTACATTGCATTACATTACATTACATACATTACATACATTACATACATTACATACATTACATACATTACATTACATTACATTACATTACATTACAATACATTACATTACATTACATTCATACATACATACATACAGACATACGTACATACATACACTACATACACTACATACATTACATACGATGGAAGAAGAGAGTGGGCGACAATGAGAAGAGAAACCGAGAGGCAAGTGATGGCCAATGGCAAGCAATCTTCATTCCCAACCGTTTCACGGATCCATCCATTGGCTGTTACATGCTTGTCCCACCTGTTGACCATGATATCTCTCTGGATTGGTGGTTTGATGAAGGAAACGACATGAGAGAAAGAGAATTAGACCTTGAGTCACGGGATATCTTCCTTTGGTCGCATTTGTCTTCCTTCCGGTCTATTCTCTTCAATCTGAGTTCTTGTCCATTGACGGTGATAACCAAGAATAAAGGGAATTATAACCGTGCCACATGCCTCCAATCACACTCTGTGTTCAGCCATTATCATCCTATCTTATTTGGATTGCTTTTAGGTTGGTTGCCAAGGTGATTATTAAGGAGACTCCAAAAGGAACGGAATAAACATAAGGAAAAGAAAAGAAAAACACAAATAAGAGATACAAATATAATGGAGATAGAGAGATAGGATTTGTAAAGGAAATAACACATGATTACCCACTCCTTTTCACTCGTCATCCCTTCTTTCCCACTCATTCCTTCCCTTTGCCTCTGCGGTCAGGTCGTGGGACGAAGGACGAGGTGAAAATAAGTGACGA